TTGTAACTGCCACTTAGCGGCACCCAACAAGGGTTTCTTCGCCAAACGGGGTCCACGTATTCCAGAGCCTAGGTGTCCCAGTCTTTCCCCTGCTACAGATATGTTGGAAGTACCAGCTCCCTGCAGTGGTGTGCCAGTGCTAACGACTCCCAAGAGAGCAGTTTTTGGTTTTGCCTCTGGTAGGTTTTGAATCATTGGTTCATCCCTGCCTTTGGCTAAGACTGCAACAGTAGGTTTGCCAGTTGCTTCTGAGCCCCTTAATGGTTCACCAGAGCTTCCAGACCCCTGCTGAAGCATTTCTCGTAGGGATCCCCTTAAAGGGGGGTCCCTCTTCAGTTTAAGGTCCTTACGACCGGTTTTTTTGTTTGGTCCCATGAGTAATGGGGATTTAAAAGGTTACCACCCGCAGAGCCCCATACGGGTGGAAGGCATAAATACAACGGGGTGCTGCCTGGTGCCCCAAGGGGATCGTTCGTGACACTGGCCAATAACCACCCCAGTGCCATGCAGCCCTCAGCACGATGCCTCACACCTTGGCTTAGGCGGTTGGTCCTTCATAAGTATAACCCTCACAAGCCTCCAGGACCAAAAGTGCATGTTCGGGGAGAGGGGGGTATCCCAGATAACTGGGCATGCGATACTAATTGTCATGAGGTTGTGACCAGGGCAACCTACACGAACTTACCGCCCCTGGAAGTTGCTTCAAAGCTCCCCCATTCCCACCCCTCCACATGGGTTGGTCGAAACCATTTTAGAGTGTTGAGTCCTAAGGCTTGCGGCACCTTGTCGGTACTCTAGGGAGACAACTCAAATAGCCGTAGCTACCCCCATAGGAGTGCTCTCCCGCATTCATCCTGGGTACATCGTAATGAAACCCAAGAGTCATTATGCCGCCATGTGGGAGGCTCTGGTCAAATGGCCATTGCCCTTTATGGAAACTTGGCCGCCAGCCCCAGAGGTTCACGCTAATGCAGACCCCCCAGGGCTGTCGTTGCCCAGCAGGACCACGAGGAGGTGCTCCAAAGCTGTCTCAACGCATCCCTGGTCAATGATACGTCCCCACCAAAGACACAGCCACCCTGCCTCTCACAGTGGTTACTGTGAAGAATATATAAGAAATAATGTAAGAAGATATGGTATAATTTGATGCAGTTCAGAAGTTCACTGGCATTTTAGAGGAATGTTCTGCATCCATCATCAGGGTCAAGGAGTAAGCCAAGCATGCAAGAAGCAGCAGCAAGCTGAGTGAGCAAACTTCTCTCAGCTTGCTGCTTGCTCCTTGCTTGATGTCTCCTCAGATTACTCTCCAACTTTAGGGACAGAATCAGTATGTCTCTCTAAAATCTTAGACTGCATGGTGTCACATTTCAGAAGCTCATCAGTTCCTTGTTTGTTTTCAGACATCATGCATGCTGAAACAAAGCGTGTGTTTGTTGGTAATTTGCCTCCAGACATTACACAGACAGACATTAGAAAGCGGTTCAGCAAGTTTGGCAACGTGTTGTCTGTAGAAATTAAACACCGTCCAGATTCTTCATCTTTTGCATTCTTGGATTTTAAAACCGATGAAGATAAGCTGAATTCATGTAAGATTTGTCTATATTTTTTGCAAATATGTGAAGCATTCTGATGTTAGTTCTTGCTGATAAATATTGTGTATTTTTTTACAGGTTTTGAAACATTATCGATTGAGAAATGGAATGGTAATAGAATAAAATTAGAACTTGCTAAGGAGAGTTTTCTGAGTAGGCTTGAGAAGGAAAGACAAGAGAATAACAAATCAAAACCACAGTGCGGTTCAGATGATCCATATATGATTGGTACAAACATAAAATCTAAGAAAAGGTCAATAGAAAATTTGGAATTTGCAAAAAAGAAACAGAAGACTGAGGAAAATTTGTCTGAAGTGAATGATTGCAGCATGGATGAAGAATCACTTAGGTTATCAGATAATTCTAGTGATTGTGAAACACTATACAATGGAAAGTTAAAGATGTTTGGTGGGACAGTGACTGCTATTTGTGATTCAAATAGTGACAGGAGCCTCTCTCAGTCAGGGCCAGATAGTAAAATTTCTCAGTCAGCAAATGCAGCAACAGATTTGCTACAGAGATTAGAGCTTTTTAGTGATGTGTGGAAGGACCCATCAATGAATTGTGATCCCACGAAACATGACAAAGTGATTACAGGAAATGATTACTTTACAAAAGAAAGCCTTTCAGATGAAGCTAAAAGACTGCTTGCTGAAGAGAAACGTAAGAAATCTATTGATGAGAAAAGGAAGTCATACCAGAAACAAAAGGAAACAATCAAATTGGCACTTAGCTCTATAGTAAGTATGGTAATGAGAAGACTGGTCAAGTGCATTTCCAGAATGTCATAGCTTTTATGATTCCTGATCACGATTCCCATTTTGAATTACCATGTTAGAAGAGAATTGTTAAACATAAATTTTCAGCATGCTTTTAATTCTTAATAAATATACTGTAAAACAAATGTACTGAAAGAGTAGTATATAAGAATTATAGTCTTACTAAAGGTTTCCCTCATTTAGGGTTAACTTTTATGGTTCCTCAAGTTTACGATATGTAATAGTATGCTGAACTATTGTGCATATCTACTATTTCACAGAGAAAATATAAAGGGACTCCACTATGTTTACTGCTTTCTGATAAAACGGAGAATATTTGAAGAGTACTGGCTTCTGGGATATAATGTCTCGTAGTTAAGCAGAAGTTTATCAATGTTTTGGAGCAACTTCTGTATAGTATTTCCTTCCAGAAAACTGGAAATCAGAGTTTTCACAAAGTTAGTAATGATAATGGAGTTAGAGATGTAAACTTTGCCACATCCAGAAATCTCTCTGTCAAAAGTACGATGTTCCCACATTGTAACATCATAAATTTACTTGGACATCTGATGGACTCACAAACAAATTGACCATATTTTGATAGGTAGGAGGTGGAATTCAAGTATACTTGTGGTCTGATCATTTAGAGCAGCAGATTGGGAGGTGAAATATTACGTTTTGAGGTCCATAAGCTAATTAATTTTATTGGGAATAAGGAAGAATTTTCTGATCAGTGGAAGGAATCTACTGTCATACCAATTCAAGATGGTTGATAAAACTGGTTGTAATAATTATTGTGAAATAAAACTGCTATCAACTTCATACAAAACTTTATCCAATTTCCCTCTCTCAGGTTTAAGTCCATATATAGATGAAATTATTGGGGATCAGCAGTGTGGGTTTCAGTGTAACATTTGTTACATGCGTTACATTTGTTAGAAAGCTGCATAAAATCCTACTTAAATGCATTCTTATTTGATATTTCTATTAACAAGAAATGTGCTGTGTTGTTTTTAAAGGATTCTGGTCACACAAACAGTAAAATTATTTTTGATTCTGAAGATTATGAAAATAATGCTGAGGATGCAGTGAAACATTCAGTGTCTCATAACATTTCATCAGTCTCTTCTGATGTTGAATTGCTGGGAGGGTCAAACAGAAAAACAGTTCTTTTTGAAGATTCTTCAGATGGTGAGGAAGAAGGAAACTTCAAAATTAAGACTCAATTTGAAGGTAGTAAGGGACAGAAGGTATGTATATCACATCATTATCATCTTCATGATGTTGAGGAATAGGCCATTTGGCTTGTTACAGTTTCATGCCATTTCTCCAGTAGTTTTTCTAAACTACTTTACAAAGTTTGAAAACAAAACGGTCTCCCTGCTGTGTTTTACTTTTATCTTTAATTTTTTAACTTTGTTTCTTAATTTTGTCCTTGATTTCCACATTAGTCATTTATTTATCATGTTCGTACTACTGTAACCTTAATTCTGCTGACTTCTTATAGCATTCTATTTTTCAGTGTTGCCAGGTTTTGTGGTCTATGACTTAAATTTGGTCCTAACATTAGAGTTAATTGTTATTTCAGACATTTCAGAGAGAGACACTGCTTTAATTGTAATTTTTGTATTACACAATGCTTTATAATAATTTTGTGTTTTCAGCTTCTAAAATTACAGTCTCGGTTTGCAAGCGATAAGAGATTTGTAATGGATGAAAGGTTTTATGAGAGTGATGAGGAAGTTCCTGCTGAAACATCTGTCATTGCTGAAACTTCAGGTGTAGAAGATGAAAGAAAAATACAGTTTGAAATATTACAAGATGTCCTTGGTCATCAGATTCCAATTAAAGATAACAAGAAAGAAAAGTCAAAGTTGGTATATTAAAACATAATTTAAAGTGATATTACCATATAATCTGCTATAACATTATGTTCTAGAAGAAAGTTTTTGAATGAGTATGTACGAAAACAAAATGGAATAAACTAGTAGATGACAAATGTACTCATACCAGAGAAATGCTCATGCATATGTTTACCCCAGGGGACCACTATATATTTCATCATAATGAAGAGATTCCTGTTTTTCTCTTGGAGTTCTTCGCAGTTATTTATCAGCTTGATACTGTATAACATGTATGGTTGAGAAGGTATTATTATATAAACTAAGAAATAGAAAGCATGTGTTTCATCTGTACTGAAAATTCTCAGTGATAAGTATTTGAGAATATTAACATTTCTAAAAAGTGAGGTGAAGTGACAGTCTTAATGCTTTCACATATAGTGACTACTAGTTTTTAGATACAAGAGTGCTCTTTGCATAATTCAGGCATAGTTTCCTTCGGTAGTCATATCCTCAGTCCGTGACTTATCTGTATGTGAATATTTCAGTGATAAGAATCATGCTACATGTAAGTTGTAACATTTTCCCTCAAGGGTTAAGGAAGGTTGTAGACCTGATCAACATGTTGTATTGGCATCACAGGTTTGATATACCTAATACTGTTGAATTACATGTTCCACTAAATTTAAATAGTAAGACAAAAGTCGAATAATCACTTTGTCTTGCATTTTTGGGTATTTGTCATGTGCAGAGGTGAAATATTTTTATGTTATTACTGTGACTGGTTCACATTTTTTGAGGGGGTGGTGCGATGAATGTTTGGATTTTTTAACACTAAAAGTGGTTAAGGAAATTATTTTTTATATTGTAAATCAATGGTATATATTTTATTATACCTTGATCCACTAATACTAATACATGCTTTCATTTTCAGGAGGATATCAATGCTCAGATATGATCCTTCAAAACCCGATCATGCCAAATTTGAGAAAAAAACTGAACCTAAAATACAGAAAGAAGTTTTTGATGTGTCACCAGGCAAGATTCCAAAAGTAGGTTATGGCAAAAGGGAGGAGAAGGTTGAAAATGTTATCGTTTCAAAAGAAAAATTTTACAAAGTGGCAGAGTCTCTAAAGAAAACCCTTCAGAAACGAGATGAAAGGAATGAGTTTAGCCTTCGTAAAATGTTTGGTACCAGTGATGGAGGTTTGTGTTATATTTGTATTCATTCACCTACTCGGATATAACATATTTTATGTTTAATCTGTTAACATTCTCTCAGTCTTATAGGTACCATTAGACTAGAAAAGTTCTAAGACACAGGTAATCTAACAATGCCAGCTTTATTTGAGAGACATTTTCAATGTATTCATCATCTCATTCTTACTGAAGTTAGGTATTCATGAATCAGTGCTGAAAAGAGTAGGCCACTCATTTCATGGTAATGCTACAAACTTTGTTGTTGTTGTGCATCTAGGGCATTTTAAGGGTTTTTCAAGATCAATTATATATGAAACAGGAAGGAGTCTCATGATTCCAGGCCTGGAGTAAAGGCTGAAATGTTAAACACAAAAGTGATTGTGGTGTCTGCTGCATGTTAAAAATCATTATCATGGAGCAAAAGGAATGCTGTGGACTGTCTTTCTTACAGCTTCTCGACCACTTAGGTCAGGCACATAGTGTATTACTGTGTAGTAACAGTATATTGAATTCCTAGTATAATGTTAGGTAGATGAACATTTAATTACTATAGGATTCTGACGATGGTGTATAACACACTGATATATTGGGTTTCTGGACTTTATCCATCGTCCTAGTTTTTAAGATAACAAAAACACGACGTTTCGGAAACTGGATCTGTTTCCGTCCTCAGGTGAAGGAAAAGGGGAACACCTATTCTGTTGGGTCCAGTGATTGAGGCTAGCTCTTTCTAACGGACCCAACAGAATAGGTGTTCCCCTTTCCCTTCACCTGAGGATGGAAACAGATCCAGTTTCTGAAACGTCGTGTTTTTGTTATCTTAAAAACTAGGACGATGGATAAAGTCCAGAAACCCAATATATCAGATGAACATTTGTTAAAAACAAATAAGCCACACTCATATTTCTGACACTTTTTACCCTTTTTACTATCACAGGTTTTCAAACTCATGTGCTATAACCTGCTGTAGAACTGTGTTAATAATTTTTACTGTAATGAGTTTATATGATATCCTTCAGGCTCAGTTGATGAAGATGGTGAGACACTCTGTGCTACAGCTCTAAATAAACACAAACATAAAGAATGGACCAAGAATCCATTTAAATATGATTCTAGTGGCTCTGAAGAAGAAAATGAGACACTCAGTCATAATAAAACTGATAATCGACAACAGAACGTAAAAGAAAATGTAATTAATTCTGGTGAAAGCCTTTTCTTTAAGCACAATGATCCTCGCCTTCAAGGTTAGTATAGTGAAATGTTTGTTTATAGTTTATCCAGTANGGTAAAAGCAGACTGCTTTTTACCGTTTCTCACGGTCTCTTCGCTTTGCAGATTTCTTATATTTTTTCTTCTACCCTGAAGATGGAGGCGATACGTTCCTCCGAAACGTCGGTTAACACCACATATACACGGTGCCAAATCCCAGAAGACTGCTTTCTTTCAGTACAGAGGTAGTCACATTATGTGAGACGTGAAGTCATTGCTGAATCTGACCATGATATGGTATTGGTTTGTGTACCTTCAAGTGCATGTGTGTATGCAGCTTTTCCATTAATAATTCTTTTAATTTAGATAAATGTTTTTCCCCTGTTGGTTTGGAATAAGAGTTCCACAAAATAACAAATAGTCTAGGTACCTAAAGCTTCAGTGGAGATTCCTAGCACCCTCAAGAATGTTTGTTGCTAGACGTTTGCAGTATGAAACACAACTGATAATTTGAAAATGAAAGACTATATGGAGACTGAAACACAAACTAGTTATATTATAAAAAGAAGCTCCTCCGGATTTGATTATATAGTACTTATTAATTAAAGTATAGTTCCAGGTATATTTAGAAAACATATGTATAGAATGCAAGAGGTTTTACTTCGCTTGCAACTTTAAATTGATATAAGAAGTTTCAGTTTTTCCATGGACTAACTATCTGTAGGGTAATGAAGCAAGTCTTGAGCTTGTAGCATAAAATTCTTCCTGACATGTATCTGTAGAAGCTGAAGGAAACCAGACACGATCATCTAATAGAGGCCAGGATTTGAATTAGGTGGCTCCCAGATGCAAGTTACATGTTCTGCCATGGAGCTAATCTTCCAGAATGGCACAGAAGTATAATTTAGAATATTGAAAAATCAACATAGACTCTTGTTTATTAGGTGAATGAAGAACCACATAATAAAGTATTGTCTTCTGGGATATAATGTTGTGTAGTCGATGGAAGCCAGACAGTGTTTCAGAGGAATAAATTCCCTCCATCTTCATTTTTGAAGTGTACATCAAGCACGAAATCAGAATGAACCTTGAGCTCTGCTTGCTGCCTGCATCATGCTAGTTTCTCTTTTGACTTACTGTTCATTGGTGAAGATGAAAGTAATAAGTTCCTGGATGACTTTCAGTGGACTTTGTGGTGTTATATCCCAGAAGACAGAACTCTTCATAATCATTGCTGTAAGAAATTTGAATGTTACAGCCAAATAATAATTTCAGTCATATTTACGCTTAAGGTATCAAACTTTTTGAGCCCCAGTTTTGTAAAACGTGTGACCTATAATTCTTCTCCCAGTGTGCACTTTTGTTTTCTTAATTCCACTGAAACTTTGATGCATGTTTATGACATGGAATTTTCTCATTTGCAGAGGGACTGGAATTCTTCAGCACAGGCCAGATTAAAGATGAATCATATGACTTTGCAAAACATAGGAGAGAACTTAAGCAGATAGTTCGATCTAAAGTGAAAAATAATTTGCGCAATCATCTTCCACAGAAAAATAAACTAGGAGGACAGAAGGTCAAGAAATTTAAGAAGACACAATAAGTTCTTCCTGGCATATACCTCAAGAGGCTGAAGGAAGCCGGAAGTGTAATTTATAATAATGAAAATCGTATGTCATGGGGACACTTGTTTCGTAGGTAGATGAACAACTGTATAATAGAAAGCAGTCTTCTGGGATTTGGCACCATGTATATGTGGTGTTAACCAACGTTTTGTCTCAGCAAGTCATGGAAGCCTCTGGAAAGGACTTGGTGTGATTCCATACTATCTGAAGTCTCAACTGTGATGTCTGTGTACTAAGACATTTTCTTTTTGAAGGAGAATGTTTCTGTGTCCATGACATAAAAAATATTACAGTCTTTTCTAACATATTGAGAGATATTAGGAAGAAATCCTTACAAACATGAATAAGTGTAATGTTCACTTCAGAAAGGTATGAAGAGGTACAGGATTTAATTGTATGGATAACAGAACTTGAAATAAAAATGATCTTCCTTATAATTTAATTACCAGAACTGCTTATGTAGTTTAATTCTGTTACTTGCTGTAACCTTTTATTTATATTTATATTTGCAGGCCCCTTGACAACACTTCCACCTCTTACACTCCTTGTCATATGTAGATTCCCACTATTATCCTCACATTTCAGTCCCTGATTCCATTTCCTGATGTTTTTTCCCATCTGGGAGGATAAAACTTTCTTTTCGTGTACAGCACTGGTTCTCCACACTATTAAGATGCTAATTTAGAAAGGGAATAGAACTCTTTCAAGTATTAAATATACTATTGGATAAATGGGGCACAAATGGCTAACATACATACATGTACTTCCTCAACTGCATCAAGTGTACCATCTAAGGGATCACTGCTTTCTTCAGTTGGAGATCTGCAATGGGGAAACGACTTCTACTCTTGAGGAATCATATTTATCACAATGCTGCTAATTGTCATCAGAAGATGATGGCTTAAATGTATGATCTTCATCCTCTCTGAAACTGTAGAAGAAATTAGCATTACTAAAATAAGAAAAGATACCACAGGGCAGAATAATCATTTTATAACTTCAGTACTAAAGAGTTACAGGACACATTACACACTGCACTTTAACAAATATAAAAACTTGATGTTTCATTAGCATAGTTGGATGTCCTCATCAAGAAACATGGGTTACATCCCATAAGCAAGTAATGACATTTCAAGCTATAACTTTTATTCTTAAACAAATAAATGAACTGAAATTATTAATGAAAGTAATTTTTGCAAAAAAGGCAGTGTCCTCACCAGCAAAAGTCTTCATTTTTTCTAGTGATAATTCAGTTCTTCATTGGCAGCCATATTTGTTTCCCACTTCACATGTTTACATTCAAGTATTCTGATATGCTCTTGGAGATGGGACAGTAAAGAATTAAGAAGAGTTCCACTTCTAGGAATATCATGCCTTGTAGTTCATTAAATGTTAACTGACGATTTAGAGGAACATGTCACCTCCACTTTCAGTATTGAAGAGTATGCCAAGCAAGAAACAAGCATGAAGCAGGCAGTAAGCAAAGTGCTACTTGCTGCCTGCCTGCAGATGAAGGCTACATGTTCCAAAATGTCCACCGACTTTTAACAGAATATATGACGTTACATCCCCGAAGATAAAACTCTTTGTAATCACTGATATGAGAACCTCAAATCCTACAATAAAGACCTAACTTTAAGTACACGTACAAGTGAAAATTGCACATTTCTAATTTCTGATGTGATTTTACTCGGTTATTTTTTTTATTTGGCACTACAGCCCCAGTGGGCCTAGGCCTACGTCCATCAACTTCTCCGTTCACTTTTACTCAGTTTAGTCATGGATATATAGCCCCTCGTAGGTGGCTCCACCTAATCGTGGTGAGGGGGTTTGAGTATGCCAAGGACCCTGAGAGCTATACCAGCGGTAGCGTAGCTACTGGCAGGGCCTCCCTTGCTGGACAGGTCAAAGGGTAGGCATCAGACGAAGAGAGACACCAAAAACTGATGCCGGAAGCAGCGTCATCAGCAGCGACTTGAAGCACAGAGTAAATAATGCTCGAGATGGTTCAAGTTCGTATAGCAACAGGCGTGACCAGAGTGGTTTGAACGCCTATTGTACTGCGATGTGGAAAGCAAATGGAAAAACTACCACATTATCACTTTTCCTGGATAGTCTCTTTCCAAAACCAGAGATACCATGTATGCGAGATGTTTCATTTGAAGGAGAAAGCTCTAGATCGCATCAAGTGGAGGAACTGTTTTGGAAGAGACTGTGGATCTGTCGTCTTGACAGATTACTGATGAATGAATGAATATAGCCCTTATGCCTTAAGAAACTAAATGCATTTAACTAAACTAACTTCATGGAGTTGAGCCCTTCTTGAGAAGCCACCAATTGTGCAGCTACTCAAGAACTTCCCAGCATTTTATGGAATCTGAAGGTTCATTACAGTGTTCACAAAAGCCCTCCACTAGCCTCTATCCTGAGCCAGATCGATCCAGTCCATACCATCCCATCATATATCTCTAAGATCTGTTTTAATATTGTAACCCACCTATGTCCTGGTCTTCATAGTGGTTTCTTTCCCACCAGTATCTTATATGCATTCCTCTTCTCCCACTAAGTGCTTTTATAACCTGGAATTAAGAAATAAGGTGATGAAATAAGAGTAGTATACTTCAAATATATGAATTTGCAAGAATTTCAAATTATTTTAAATTTTTATTCCTGTTCCTTGCTTTGTTACAATATGCATATACGTAACTGTGTGTATTGTACAATATCCTTCTTTACCACTAGCTTCACAGGAAAACTTTATGGATGTGTGAGTGATGGAAACTGCCCTTCATAATTCTACACATGTGATTTGCATGCAACAACAAGAATGGTAAACGAATGAACTGAAAAGAAACAACAGAGAGTTACTACTGAAATCAATTTTGGATTCCTCATTATTTTTTTTCTGGCAAAATATGGTCAGAAAAAACACTTGTCTTCCGTATCACCCCACACATTACAGGGAGTAGGCAGATCTGTCATCTCACCCTCAAAATTAGCTATCTAGTCTCATGTCCTATATGTTTGGCTATCCAGACCTGCTTAATTGACTTACTTTTATTTTAGTGATGACAAAGTCCCAAAACCCCAGTATTCTGAGATTAATTTAATGTTAAGAGGTGGAATTTGAACCCACAGTATACTAGGTGCTGGCCTGAGTTTTAAAGGCCTTTCAGTTACTGAAATTCCATGTTATAGAAAATAAATTGTATTTATTGCATTTTTAAAGCCATAAGCCTCAAATAAAAACCAATTGTAATGAATTAATCTATTTATCTGTATGGGAGACCTTTGTACCTGGGACAGATTTTTTTAATAACTATAAAACTATCTATTCACAGCACCTTTAGCTCAGGGGCACGCAATAGTGTAGTTGATTGAGGCACTAAGCTACAAGCCAGAAGATCTCTGATTTGATTTCTGATGAGGTCATTGCATTTTATCTAATCCTTCCAGCCGCAATATGGCCCTGGGGTCGACTCAGCCTCTAACAGAAATGAGTACCAGGAATATTCCTGGGGGTAAAATGTGGCCAGCACGTGAGGCTGACAACCCCACCGCCATCTATGAGTCGATTGTCTAGAAAATGTAGGAACCTCATTGTCTTGCAACCCTACAGTTCTACACAGTCTGTGTAGCTTTGCCATTTTCTTTCATTCCTTGCCATTCAACGCTTCTACTTTGTTGCATATTCACTATATCAAAAACACTTTCAAATAAAATGTTTAGGTCCTGGTGAGATCTGTGTACATTCTGTGTGATGAACCAATTAGTTTTCAGAAAAATAATGCAGTTTGTAAGTTATGGGCGATTTTGAAGAAATGTGGGTTAAAATTAGACTCCATATATAAATTTTAATGCTGACTTCCGACATAAAATTAGGTAAAACCAACATGATCTGTCCTTTATGCGTTCATTTCATACACCTTGTCCGAAGACCGCAAAAAGGGACAACATTTGGTTAAGCACTTTCAGTATAATATGAAACCGCCTGCAATATTTTGATTAGATAACACACATATCACCAGAGCCGAAGAAGTTGCCGCTACCTCACGGGGAGCCATCTGAGTAGAAGAACACAGAAATTAGTGGGGTCTGTGGAACACGTCTAAATGTCCTTAAGTTAAACTGACCCACTATTAGCTTTAATAAGCCATCGAAAGGGAGTAAAACCTTATTTTGCTTAGGCATATTAATCATAACCGCAGCATGAAGATGTAGTGGTCATTACCCCTCTCGGTTTTCCAGAGTATTGATGTCAGGATATATGATGGGAGTATGAACACGTGCTTTGGGAGAAATTATGATGTCTGAACTCCTCAAAACGATATTTGGACATTTAGAATAATTTGTAAATTAATATATTAATTAGCGACCTCCAGAATTCTGGCCCTTCACATTGGACCCAATGTGTTAATCTTGTATTCTCACACCTTTCAACGACATCTTAATTTAGCCAGTTCTTTATAAACGAATTCTTTTAAATGTGTTCCGTTTAATTCGTTGCTGGGAGAGGACATAGTAAACGTTCTCTCGGCACACGTTTACGATCAAATTCTTGCTCTCTTACAAAGAATCTGTAACTTTTTTTTTAATTCGCTTAGTGGGGGGGTGGAGTCCAATCGGGTCCACTCGGCAAGGCTTGTTAGGATCGTTAACAACGGCATCAGTTTTGAAATAAGGACCTCCTGAATATGAAACAGTTAGTGATACCCACTCGAACGCAATAGTAGTTAAACTAATGTGACATTTCTGACCCTCTCTAATTTAGAATTCCGGTGCAGTCGAAAATTTAGATACTTCCCAGGACTCTTTGAACGAAATCTCGAACAATTGCAAGACCTCTGTTTAAACATGACAACACTGCATAGAAATATGCGTACAGACGTGACAAGATTGGAACCCTGGATCCTTGCGTTTGAGCGATCCAAGATCACACGCCAGTTAAATCATGCATTAATCCTATCGAATGGGGCATAGAAGAAAAGCTGGTTCAAAGGAGGAACGGAATGTAACTATAAAATACAGATCCCAAACCAGTCCGACAGGGTGTTTAAGAGTATATTACCTTCTTGTCAACAAACAGGATAGCCTCGGCTTCTTCATTCTCTGTGATTATAGTCATACTTCAGAGAAAAAAAAGATTCAAGGGAAAAGGTCCTGGTATGTTTAGTGTGCAGATATATATATATACAGGGTATTTCACGACTTTCGGGCATAACTGCAGGAGGTGATTTCCTAGGTTTTGTGATCAAAATAGTTCATATAAACATGTGTCCGATTTTGGACGGTTACGGAGTTATGACCGTTTTTTCATTCCCGTACACGCCCCCGTGTGAACCGCGTCTGTCAACTGGCAGGTCGCTATTTTTAGCCAGCTACAGACAGAGCGTTCTCGTTATCTCGACACTTGAGAGGTACCTAAGGCGTGGTGGGTTGGTATGTCCGGCGCGGTTCACAACCGAGCGGCAGCCTGTGTTGCGGCCGGCGGTGGCATTTTCGAAAATCAGCTTTAAGCACCAATAAATTCAAATTAAAGGTAATTTCACGAAGTTAACTTTACATTCATACTTTAAATGTATCATGTATTATGCTGGTTTATTATTTTGTTCCGTTTATTGTCAGTAATCGTTACCTTCTATTCTGAGTTTAAAACGGTCATAACTCCGTAACCGTCCAAAATCGGACACATGTTTATATGAACTTTTTTGATCACAAAGACGTAGAAAATCGCCTCCTGCAGTTATGCCCTAAAGTCATGAAACACCCTGTATATGTAGACTGTATTTCGCAAAGGAAAGGAATAATATTTAGATAAAGGAACGTAATTTTTACGTACCCACTCGGATCTGTTTAAAGGCAATGACAGTAAACATTGTAGCACTAAGTTTGCAGCGAAAGAAAGCTTGCCTCTCGATTTCATATTCTTCCTGTGAGGGACACGACGCTTACGAAATCATTTGCATTTGTGCTACGAAACGTGAAGGGCATTTGATGGTGGGTGTATGGTGTGGTGGTTATAACGATTTAGTGTTGACATATTTACACAACAGATCTCTTATTGTTAACGTCACTTACTTTCAGTAAATTTGCGCAATTTTTAGGAACATAAATTGCGATGTGTAGGGAGGAAATATGTTTTTTAGAAATTACAATCGGTGCAAGGATTGTCGGTGTGGTAGGATTGGTGAGTACGTTTAACATAAAATATATTCTTGAAACGAAAGAATGTGTTATTATAAAGTCCTGCTGCTTATTCATGTATTACATATCAACGATAAAAGCCTTGGAATTGGATTTAAGATGTGCATTTTGGTCTCAAAAATCGTCTGGTTCCTGTCAACACCCAAACAATGTTTCGGCGACGAATGTTAATAGATTTAATTAATAATTAGTGATTATCTTGTAATGAAGTAGTTTCATGTAAAATTTGTACAAGAAAAAGAAAATGTTTCTTATGCATACCTATAATGTTTATTTAACAGATATCTCTCAGGTGAATGCTTACCGAGATAGGGTCTACATAAAACGCATCAAAGCATATGAAACTCCCAGGTAGACATAATTTTATAAAATCGAAATGAAAATCTTTTGGATATACATATACATATACATATTTGGATATGTATATAGGTACACGTAAGCTCCATTGTGACCCATAATGATTTTTAAAACTAATTAATGTTGACACAACTTACACATGGAATATTAAATATAAAGAAGTACCGTTTACGAAATTTCATAAAATTCTCTGAAATGCTTTAGAACATATACGCAAAGGTTAATTAGGTACCAGAGTGAAGATATCCTTGAAATGAATTAAGGTAAATGTAATTTACAGGTGGTAATATTCATGTAAGTGCCTTATATATTAAGTTTAGCCAAAACTGTCGAAAGACGTAAAATACACATGGTAGAAGGCAAAGTTGTTCCTGTGTTTAATTAAACACCACGCCACGAAAGGATATGTGGGAGTGGAGGTTTAGCTCCACCTTGGCACTAGGTGGTGGTGAGCAGTCAGCTTCACTCCATGGCCGTATTACCACTGGGGAGAGAGCCCCCGGTACCAATTAGATAGGAGGCCAGAGCCGGTCTTAACGCTGTGGAGAAGAGAAAATCTCTTTGTCACTACCGACAAATGAACCCCGGTCGCCCAGCCCGTAGCACATCGCTATATCTACTGAGCTCCTGAAGATATATATATATATATATTTAGACGAATGATGTAAAATTATTCTTAAAAATGTCCACACTAGATCAAACCAAAGTTTCTCCACAAAATTTGGTGTAGATCTGTCATACCGATTAGTATGGATACGCGAGTAGCAACTGTGGTTAACCCTGTTTAACGGACAAACCGAGCTGGTATCTTTCTCCATTTTACATTTTCTTTATTATTTTTTATCTTAAGGCCGATGGTCCGCTAACCTTCGCAACCTCAATTTTCGGGCAGTGGACAATGTCCAGGGAACATCCCTTATACCATCTTCTACATGAGGGCCTCACGGTGGCAACTGTGAAGTGTGCGGTATTGTGGGTTGTAACGCCGAGTAATTCAGAGAGATCCCGATGTTTCGAAGAAAATATCATCTCCATCTTCAGTGTCGAAGATGAAGTAAAAGAATTGTAGGCAGCAAGCAGAACCAAGCTTGCCGCTAGCTTCTACTGGTTACCTGCTTGTCTTAGTTCTGGACTATATATTCCTATGAAATGTGCTGTCTCCGAACTACAAGGCGTTAGAACCAAGAAGACCGTACTCATTGTTGTATCATGATATCCTACCAAGTTTGAATGAAGACTGTTAAATAGTGTGGTCGCGAACACAGGTGAAGATTCCTTAAACACAGTCAAACATGCAGTCCTCTTATATTCATTCAGCCATTTAGATAGCCATAAAGCCTTGTATCCTTATTAGCAAGATACATTACTGAAGAATATGTGTCTCTTACAGATTATTTCAGGGATTGTAATGTCACAACTTATATCAGAGCTTATTCAAAATGATGGACACGTCGAAATCTTTACAATATTAGGAGTTGGTATGGACAAATTCGGCACTTATGAAGATACTAAAGGAAGATCAGCATGTAAGTTTACAAAATGAGTTCTGTGTTTCACACCGCATGTCACACATTGTTGAACGTATTCATGTTTTAGAGAGTATTTCCCTAGAAAATAATAGAGCTCAGTATAATTTTAACCTTTTCTATCAGGGTTAACATTTGTATTTATCTTTCATAAAACTGCAGATATGAGAATAACAATTTTTTGTGTGCATATATATCTCTCCCTCTTCTTAATGATACGAAGAATGGCAAGAGAATTTCGGAAACCTATACCTTCATTAAGTCGATCACAGTGGCCGCGCGGTGTAAGGCATGAACTGTTTTCGTTCGCTCGAACGCTGGAATCTCACTCGAGGCATGGGTATCTGTGCGTGTTTATTCTGTGTTTATGTTGTTCTGTGTGTAGGTATAGGCCTTGCGACGGGCTGAGCCCCCGTTCATGAGTCCTACAGACTGTGTATAGGATCCAGAAACTGAAAAAGCGGCTAAGGCCAAACAAAAGGCTGTAGAGCAATAATAATAATAATAATAATAATAATAATAATAATAATAATAATACGTTCATTAAACAGTTCATGTTTAGAAGCATTGACATGTCATTTCTCTGAGCATATGCACCTCTGCAGGATTACGATTAAACTACGTCACATATGTGAGAAATTGACGAATTATGTATTGAAAATAAGCCAGAACAAGGCGATTGATGTATGAAGAGGCACACTACTGAAGTAATACTCTGAAATGGAATTTCTTATATATTTTAGAACGCCGAAATCACGAAATTTCCAGAGTTATTCTTAACACTCATTAGAAATAGACGAGACTTAGTTTCCGAAGGAAAGTAATTGCATTTCTACAATATATCCATGATTACATCTGGCTAGAAGCAATTGGTAAATAAGCTCTCATATATATCGGACATTTTACGTCGTCTGTTTTTGTTTCTGTCTAGAATTAATGTTGCTTTCAACAGATTGAGGTTTTTTTTATTGCTAGTGGGGTGGGACTAAGTCCCTTGTACTGCGGCCACTTCTGGCCTATTGTACCAGCCTCGGATGATAGGCGAGGGTGATTGTGGAGCAAATGGTGGAATGAAGATTGGCAGGGGAAACCGAAGTACTCGGAGGAAACCTGCTCCAGCGCCACTTTGTCCACCACAAATTCCACTTGACTAGACCCGGGATCGAACCCGGGCCGTCGCGATGGGAAGGCAGCGACTAACCGCTTGAGCTATGGAGGTTACTTCTATCTAATGAACTCAACTCAACAGAATAGATTTCATTCTATTAGTTGTAGACGGAAGCAGAACCATCTCCCGAAAACTTGTTTTCTTAACTAAAATGTGACCATGGAAAATGCTCAATACAAGATTCAGTTTAACAAAAGACCTTCATCACAAACCGTTACATTTATCGTGCTAAGTAAATGAGTGAAAGTCTATAAGTTTCCTTTCCCCGCACACACAAAAGCACTCTGTCTGCGATATACTTCTAAGCATAAAGTAATGTCGAGCCAGCACAGATCATCATAACGACCCGTGTCTGATATTTCACTAAATAAAATCAGAACTGAAAATGCGAATAATTTTTATATAATCAGATAAGCGTGAGGTAAAAATACTTTGTTCCTTCAAATATAAATAAAATTGGAGGGAGGGAGTAGATTTTGGCCATTTCTTACGATGTTCCACGTCATTATAGTCCATTGTGCTTTGAGTAACATGCATATGAATGTGTAGTATTGGAATGTTCGGTCTGTGACGGCATTCTTTTCTATTTTAGCAGTTGAGTTCCATAGTGCATATCATTTACATAGTTCAACAAGGTGTTCCATTTGGAGTCTGTCTCTGGGAAGAAGGTGGCAGAATATCCAACTAGCTACAGCATCAGCTATTGAAATTTTAATCTGACGACAACAAAACGACGACAACGACGATGGCATTCTAGCTTTACCTGAGCAATTGAAAAACCAAAATATAATTTTTTTATATTCTCAATAATTGTGTTGAATTTCTATGTTCCAGCAAAGGACTTCATAATTATTTGCTGCTTTTTTATACTTGCACAAATAATCGCAAATATTCTGCTCATCTGGGGCACAATAGTGGTAAGAGGACTGTGTCATACTGTCATATTAAAATTTGGACAAGATCTGAGTCATGTGGTTACAACTATTCTCAGTATAGCAAGGAAAAAAAAACTACGTAAATGGAAATATTGTCGAATATTTTCTAAAGACGAAGGAGAGTCAGTAAATAGGCCACAAATGGAAGTAAAACATCTGTAATGGACGCAATAGGTTTTATATACGTATCACACGGTAGCACCACAGTCTAGATTCATGACAGTCTAAGTAGCAGACGCGCATGCACATATTTAGAGGCTTGTTTCAGTAGTCAAAATTTCGAATGTGCATGAGGAGTATACTACCGAAAAGCACAGTTCTGTAGTGCGTTTTTTATAGACAAAATGGCTCAACATAAAGGATATCCTTAAAGAAATGTTTTCTCTTTGCGATGGGAAGTGTTTTTCGCGTAAAGCGGTTCAAAATTTGGTTGAGAAATTCTCTCAAGAACATTCGAAAGTCGTAGATGACCAAGAGCGGAAGTGACTGAGACAACAGTCAAAAAACTTCTATGCTGCAGGTTTCGACGCACTGTTGAAGGGATCGGACAATTGTTTCAGGGTTGGTGGTGGAAATGTCGAGAAATAAATGTTCTTTCCAGGTCCGAATATCATATGTTTTACGTTTATTTCAATTTGTGACCTATTTACTGACTCTCCCTCGTATGAACACATTAATGATATTTAATGCTTCAGGAATATCACAACAAACTATTATGCTTTAATAGAGAACTGTATTTAAAACAGGTATAAACACATATTCTTAGCATATAGCTGTAATTATAAATCACGTTTTTCTTAAAACCAATAAATTTGAAAGTAGATTTTCAATTAAGAATCTTCAGTTATAATAATCTACGTGTTTCAGCCTTGGATTTATTTGTAACATATGTGTATATTGAATGAACGTTCATAAAATGTTAACAAGTCTGTTAAATATAAAACATTCAGCTGTTATCTTCTTACAGTTTTGAATCCCCAAGACTTGAACCCGGGCAAACTGGAGAATAATCGAAACTGCTTCATTGTCTCGATTCAATCATTCAGAAAGTTTTCTTATTATATTAAAACCGCTAATATAGTGAAATATATGATGATAAGAAAAGGAGAGATTAATATTTGGTACTTAAAGTCAACAAAGCAATAAGATACATATCTGCATACCACAGTTATCACTTAAAGCAAGAAAGGGCTACATTTAGTAACTGTATTCTGATGTCCCATAATAAATATAACAATTACTGTATTTGTAAGATTTGAGGTTTTCACGGCGGTGACTATGAAGAAAGCCGTCTTCTGGGATGTGGCGCCGTGTAGATATTGTGTTAACCGACGTTTTGGAGGAACGTATCGCCTCCATCTTCAGCAGGTACTGACAGACACCTGCTCACGCTGGTTCCTCGCTCGCGGGTTTTCTTTTTTCTTCTACCCTGAAGGTGGAGGCGATATGTTCCTCCGAAACGCCGGTTTACACAATATCGACACGGCGCCACATTCCAGAAGATGGCTTTCTTCAATTATTGTATTTGTATTGAAAGTTAATTATAATTATTATATTTGTGTGTGTTCTCTGCTGGTGACCCTTGTCGCTTTCATAATTAAGTTATTTCTACGTATTTATGTGCAGAAGAACAGGCTGTACGCATTTCCGTGGCTCCTGTGCGAGACAGCAAGCTTACTGATGCAAATGGTGGTATTTGTGTATTATGCCAAGCACAAAAAGAATGAGATGGACAGATGGTTTACCACTGCAGCCCTTGTGAATATTGGTAACATAAAGCTCTGACATTACGAATAAATGCAATATAAGGATGAAAATAAATATGTACGAATTTTAACCAATTCTTATAGCTCTAAAATTTGGTAGTGAGATAATTTTTCACTGAAAAAAAATCTTAATTAAATGGTAGGTATCTAAAAATTTTTGGAGTAAATTTTATATTAATGATCATTAACCAAAATTTTCGCTGTTAAACAACCAGTTCTTTCCTCACATCTAAGTAAATGTAATACAGGAAACACGAAATGAACTAAATTTCGAAGAATGCCGTCTTCTGGGATGTGGCGCGTATAGATATTGTATAAACCGACGTTTCGGAGAAATATATCACCTTCATCTTCAGGGTAGAAGAAAAAATCTACCCTTATACCCTGAAGATGTAAGCGATATATTTCTCCGAAACGTCGGTTTATACAATATCTACACGGTGCCACATCCAAGAAGACGACATTATTCATAGTCACCGCCGTGAAAACCTCAGAGCTTACAACTAAATTTCGGTTTGTTTAATGTTCTAGTCGTTACTACGTACTTGTGGTATATTGTGTTCCGCGCCCAGGAGGAATGGAGCAGAGAACGCGAAGATGAAGAAGATATTCCACGTGGTGTCGAAGACCAAATCGACTGAAGTGTCCATTTCCACAGACAATTTACCTGATCCTCCATAACTACCAGTAGCAACTGTAATCAGTGAACCAGTACAAGTCTTCCGTTAAGCACATGAACAAAGACAAGATTATTACAAAGTTCGGAAGATTAGAATGCAATTATGAATAAGGCTCTATACCGTTACACCTATAGTTAACAGATACACAATGAATATAATTAATAGTGTATTTTCAAAGAAGTATGTCTTAATATCTATACTTTTATATAAAATACTGTTGTATTACCTATAAAGAAATATGTCATTATAATTTGTTTGGCCTTTTGAACTTGTACGTCTGTTGTTATAACCTGTGTTTAGAATCGTAAACCTTGAGAGTCATTTTAGTAATGGCTCATTTGAGTAACCCAATGTGTAAAACTGAGGTTATCCTTTGAACTGATATCTATAACATTTCCTATCAGCCTACTAATTCACCATTTATGACACCCTACCATTTTATATTCATAAAATATGGAAAAAAATGAGTACTATTAAATTAAGAAAGTATGCTTCATAAGAGATACGCAAGATATATACAAGCATCTTGAGACTGAAATTTCGTGTGTACTGAGATGCCTACTAAGAGGCTGAATATTTATATGGCGTGACTGTCAAACCCTTCCCAATTCAGGCCGTAACTTTGGGGAAGTTCAATTTTTGGCATCAGGAAGAGAAACGCAAAGGATTTCATTACGTGATTTCGAAGTTCCTGCTGTCTGCTGTTCGGCGTTGCAGTCGCTAACGATAAAATATCCTCCCATCGGCAAGCGCAGACTTTTGTGTGTTATGCGGACAAGAAGTCCTTCGTTACGGCGAACATAATGTATGTACAGAGGTGAGGCTCAAAATAAGGAACCCAATCAAGGACTGTATTAACTGTTTTCGGCCACAAGAAATGTACACAAACAATTTGGAGGTGTGGGTGAGACTGTTTCCGGTGAGAATTTCGAAAGAATCCGCCATGATTTTGGGGGAAACCGGAGTAGATATATCCTTCGGGCGTCCAGGGAGCTGCAGTTAGCACATACTGTGTCGCAGACGGCTACAGCTGTCAGAGCACAAAGTGCAGACTGTCCAGGAGATGATGAGAGGTAACATGCAACATCGACGGAAATGTGGAAATGACACGTAACATCGGCTGGACAAGGATCCCGCCTTCTTTCTAAACATCTTGATTTCTGAAGAGGCTACTTTTCCTCAGTTAGGGAAACTCAATCGGCACATCGTATGGGACTCTTGAAAATTATCAGAGGTACCGAGATACATCTAAATTGAACGTTTGATATTACTTAATGGAGAATAGGATAAGGGCCTCTTTTCTTCCCAGAGGCGACGATAACAGCTTGTGCTTTGATATGTTAGAACTGTTTACCCCAACATAACTGATTTTCAGCTAAATGTCATTTCCGAAAGGACATAGTTCTGCAAAATAAGAAAACTGTAAATCATGTATTTTGAAATTGAAATGTTCGAAAGTGTAAATTAAAAAAGAAACATTCGCAAGTATGCATTCTCCACATACGAAATTAAGATAACATCCTCTGCCTCAAAACTTTCAGTTCGATATCGGCTTTCGTATTATTTATGTTTTCTTCAATTTTTCTTCCATTGAATATAAGTATAGCAACATAAATTATGCCACAGCCGTGTCTTTCTTAAATAGGATGAAGAAAAAGGGATAGGAGGTTAATAGTATTGCGCTATTGCTGCTGAAATAAGCACACCTGTCGTTTTTTTCCCCCCGTTGCTTAATATCTCTTTGCTTTTCATTCGAATCAGTCTAAGTTCTCTTATTTCTCGCTGCATAACCTCAGCACTAATATACGTACAACATCGATACTCAAAAGTGCATTCAGTATCATAATTTTCCGATTAATTTTTTAGCAATAAAACAGTTGAAAATTTTAAAATTATAAATCTTCGCTTGTAGGAACGGAGACGTCTATTTGCCCACGCCCAAAACGAAACGATTGCAGAGGATCTGTATATTTACATACGTAGTTCGTAAAGTCGCTCCAGGTTTGCCGTAGTCCGGCCAACACACATGAACTGGAATCATTTGCATTTGTGCACTAAATCGTGAAGTGGTTGGGCTGTGCGATCCTGACCTGTGTTTTGTGTAAGCGCTATTGCAGATATTGTTCCTTGCAATTTCTATCCTTTGCCTCTGCTCTAAGCTCAGGAAGTTGAATTAACCGTATAGATAAAACTTCTGACAATGTGTATGAGGAATTTCCTATGTTCTAATACATATCTTACGCGGTTTATTTGTGTATTTGAAATGGTGAGTACAAAAGTTTTCGACTATATTTAATGCTTATCTTGTATTCAAGCCACTAATTATATTCTTCCACGTCTTTTCCAATTAATTATTTCTATCTATCTATCTATCTATCTGTCTGTCTGTGGCTCTACAGCCCTTGCAGACCTTGGCGGTTTTTCAATTTCTTAATCCATACACAGTCGGTAGGACGCATTGGACGGGAGATCAGCTCGTCGCAAGGCCGCTACCTGCACACAGAATAAACGCACACAGACATCCATGCCTCGAGTGGGATTCGAACCCACGATCCAAATGTTCGAGTAGACGAAGACTGCTCATGCCCTAGACCGCACAGCCACTGTGATCGGCGATTCATTACGAGTACTTAGTAATCATTAAATAATCCGACGTGCTATATATTATCTGGTTTACTGAAAGCATAGTTAAATAAATCATACTCGTAAACAATAGTTCCGTTGCGTATCTACAGCAGTTCGTCATTCTTAATCTCCATGCTAGTTCACGAGAAAAGGAACATGTGACAATGTTCACATGGCTACGGATTTTGAGGTCCCTTGTTCTACTTCAGAAATTGAATCACTCAACTAACCACGAATTTTCCAACTATAATTATCAGCCACATTTCACCCCCCAAATTTAAAATTGTTTACATCTCATCAGAGGTCATGTTCAGTACAGAATGATTAGCAAATTTACGTGCTGCTCAATTATGTACTTTTGTATAAAATTTCGAAATTCCACACTGAAGAGCGATGTGTTAGTCCTGTATAAAAATATCACGTGACTGTATAAACTGGATTTATGTTTACAAAATTACTGATAGTTCTAAGAAAAACAATTTCTCTTGTACTCAGACGGGGCAGAGTACGACGGAGCAACGACCCCTCCTTTCCCTCCTCGCCATGCATAATTCAGTCTTCTAATTCGTAGTTCCATGGCAACTGATTACGCGTACACTGGAAGGTCTTAATGTGTACGCGGACGCTGAGTTCGGTATTTAAGCGAGCGTTATGGATGTAGCCTATTGCATTCATGGTGCGGTTTCGGTGTGTCTCTTCTATCAAATTGTGCAGTCGTAAACAGAAACTCTGTGATAATTTTTAAGATGTATTTTGGGTACTTTTCATTGCGATTGATTACGAGGCTTACTGCTTTGTACGGAATGGTGGGTAATTATATATATATATACATCTGTATCTGTTTGTGTGGAATACGTTATAACTGTCTGGATCGAGGGATTGAGCCTCACGTGTTTATCGCCCTTAATGCTAGTGGGGTGGGGGTTAGTCCCTTGTACTGCGGCCACTTCTGGCCTATTGTACCAGCCCCAGATGATAGGTGAGGGTGATTGTGGAGCAATTGGTGGAATGAAGATTGGCAGGGGAAACCGAAGCACTCGGAGGAAACCTGCTCCAGCGCCACTTTGTCTACCACAAATCCCACTTGACGAGACCCAGGATCGAAACCGGGCCGCCGCGGTGGGAAGCCGGCGACTAACTGCTTGAGCTATGGCGCGGCCCTTTATCACCCTTGCTAAGATAAAAAGAGATCAAGAATTTGATCATGACCCGGAAGCCAGTTGCCCTAACTGAGATTTTCTTCATTTGCTCCGTGAAACTACTCATGACGCTCATGACTGATTTCTGTGTTTGTCTCAATTGTTTCATATAAATGCTGGGAGAGTGTCTAAAAAAATATGCCACGATTTCTTCCTTTCATTTATTTAAATATTAACCATTCTCATTCAACCTCTCCTTCCATGCTATATAATCTATGCAGATAAGGACGCACCATTAAATGAAATAGTAATGGGTTTTTATTGAGGACCTTACAATACTGTCAAGTATTTTTCACGTAAATACCTCAAGTTAATTGTCGTTTATATGAATGTCGCATTAATATCGGATAGAGACGGGATAGCTAAGTCAGCATAAAGGCCTGGTTATGGGCTCGAAGACATGGAAAGGGGTTCGATTCCCGGCACAAACAGCGATTTTTCGGTTCACCACTGCATCCAGATAGGTCTTGGAGATCACCCAGCCTGCTTTCTAATGGGTACCGGGGATTTTTCTCCGAGATTAAAGTGACTGGAGCGTGAAGCTGGCCACTCACGTCTAACTAGTTCCGAGATTAAGAATATGTGGAGCTGTACTTCCACTCTCCATATGTGTTAATTGTGTGGTGTTCAAAGCATAAAAAAAAGTAAAGCTATCCCTGGAATAGGCCATGGAGACCCATAGGGTTGTGATGCGTCAAGGCTCCTACGTTTTCTAGACAGTCGGCTCACAGATGGTGGTGAGATTGTCTACCTTACTCGCCGGTCGCCCTTTACCCCCAGAAGGATTCCTGGTACTCATTTCTGTTGAAGGCTTAATCGAATCCAAGGCCATAGTGGGACTGAAACGCTTAGGTCAGTTGAAAAATTCAGTAACCTCATCGGGAATCTAATCTGCGACCTTCCTGCTTGTAGCATAGTGTCTCAACAAACTACGCTACCGCGTGGCCTCTAGTGCTTTAAGTACGTACACGGACAAACTTATTTTTAACTTTTACTTTACTTCAGTACTGGATTTTAATATCTTGAAAATTCCATGACATATGAAGAAAATGAAACAAAAATATATAATTTGAAGCCGTAATCTTCATCTGCACTGTCTTCTCTCGCTCGGAAGCTGGGATCATGGGTTCGAATCCCACTCAGGGAATGGATGTTTGTGTGCGTTTTTCTGTGTTTGTGTACAGGTAGAGGCCTTGCGACGAGCTGATCACCCGCCCAAGGAGTCCTACCGAACGTGTAAGATCTAGAAAAACCGAAGTGAACGGAGAAGTTCATGGAAGTAGGCCTAGACCCACTGGGGCTGTAGTGCCAAGGAAAAAAAATATTCATCAGAAACATTTTTATAGCATACGTTATAGTTTGGTTCGTTAATTAATTACTGTAGCCGATCACAGTGGCCGCCGCGCGGTCTAAGGCATGAACGGTCTTCGTCCCCTCGAACACTGGGATCGTTCGTTCGAATCCCATTCAAGGCGGGGATATGTATGTGCGTTTATTCTGTCTGTGTTGCCACGTGTAGGCAGCGGCCTTGTGACGGACTGATCCCCCGTCCAAGGAGTCCTGGCGACGGTGTATAGGATTTAGAAACTGAAGAACAGACTGAGGTCCAAAGAGCTGTAGAGCCACAGAAAAAGGAAGAAAAGGTAATTACTACTATTTAGTTGTCAGACGGCCCCCCGAACACACTCAGATGCCCCACTGAAGGAAGGTGGTAGCTTTCTACACTTTACCTACAAGCAATTATGGCTGTTTCGATTGTAGTTTCCCCATTATTTGCCACCATCCGACTCCAGGATTTAGTCGGACAGTAGTAAATTGAACCGGTAAATTAAATTGTTGCTACTTAATGCTGTGTTTTCCTTACAGGCTGTTTCAATAGTTGTGATGACAATATTAACAATGGAATTAAAAGATGAAGAAAAAGGGCGCGGAAAAATTTTCATATTTTTGGGAATTGATATTGACGAGTTTGACATAAATCATAATGAAAGAGATTCAAATGCAGTAGTAAATACAGATAATTATAAATACACTTCCTCCAGACTCAAGCCACGTAAGTGTATGAATTGCTTTAGAGAACTGAGAGAGAGTTGAAAATACGAGTATATATTGTGATGAAATATTGCATTGCTTCCAGATCTGTCTTGAAATTCCGGAAGTGATTTGTATGATGTGATTTATTTGTTCATGCTTTAGAATATAATAACTTATTAATAGTATTTGTTAAGTTTAGTCACAAATTCTTTCATAATGAAGTCGCTAGAGGAGTCTCCCAGCTATGACAAACTGAAAGATGAAACTTTACATATTCACTTCCATCTTCAGTGCAACTCTGTTCACAGGCTCCCCTTAATTCAAAATAGCATTAAAATCACCATCGACTACTATATGTTTCGTCCTTACTTGGCCATCCTCAGGCAAATGTTCACTTTCTGAAGCAGCTACACTCTATTTCAGTGTTATTGCATTTTTGTCATTCATGCTAAAATAAACATTTTGAGAATAAAACTCTTTATCTTTTCTTGCTCTATTGTCTTCTTGCGGCGTCCGTGTTTGTGCATTGTTTTTCTTAACCCTATGAATATCGGCGTGATGTTATTGTTGTTACTTTTATGTGCTTGCACTGACTAATGGGGCACATAAAAATAACAAAAACAGCACAACGCCGATATTCATACGACTAAATAAAACAAAGCAAAAACATGGATGCAGCATGAAGAAAACTGTGCAAGAAAATGTATTTTAGCGTGAATGACAAAAATGCAATAATAATAAAACATTTTAACTTAAGAGTTAGTGCAGTGTAGTGGTTTCAGAAAGTGAACAGCTAACTAAGGATGGCCAAGTAAGGCCAAAACATGTAGCAGTTGATCGTAATTTTAAAGTTATTTTAAGTTAAAGAGAGATTGTGAAGAGAATTGCATTAAAGACAGTAGTGAATGTGTAGATTAATACATCACTACAACATGATTCTGAAATAGAATATTATGAAATATGAAATGCTATGCCCTTCCCAGTATCAGAAGAACATATATGACAGTCACTGTATTTGTGAGACTCATTAGACTGTTCATCGATGGACTTTTGTAAACATGGCAATGGATTTTCAGGTAGCACAAAAGAGTTGGAATTTCTGGACTAGCTCAGCTGCTATTGGTTTCTCAAGATGGGCTCTGCATCTCATGGATAGTTAGCAGTAATTGATACATTTTTAAAAATGATATATTAACATTTCTTTCACAGGTTAATAAGATAAAGCCTTTCTTTCAAGCAACTCTGTATAGTAGAGCGACTTTTGGGAAGCTGATAGTCACTTAGCTGGTCAAGAAATTCCCCACCCTTTATAGAACCAGAAGAATGACTGTGTTCACAAGAGTCCTGTTGTGAATCAGCTGAATCTAGTCTATATCCTTACATTATATATATATGGCATCCTTCTAGCTATTAGGACTCCCCAGAAGCCTTGATTATATTACAGTATAATGATGTAAGTTTAAGCTAAATCTGAGGTCAGAAACAGACTGTGGCTGGATAACAGCATAACATTTTAAACATTAGCCTTGGCTACTCTTGTAACGTTTGTTGTAATTTTACTTAACCAAACAGAATTATAAACTGCACAGGGGCACATAAACGTATTTGTTAATTGTCACATGTAGAATTGGTACTGACTAATTTTTATTATATTCCATCATATTAACTTGTACAAAAATATAAACTGATTTCTGTATGTTCCAGTCTATCCTTTTGTGCTTATCTGCTATATATATTCGTGCGTGGAAATTGTGGCCAATGCTCTGCTTGTCTGGGGGACCTTAGTGGTAAGAAGATTGTTGTAGACTGAAGTTATCATGTAGAATGGAATGTGATGAACTGTAGATCCACTGTGACTGTCAAATTAACTAGTAGTTTTGTGTTTTGGAATAACCTAGTTATAATAAGGGATATTATATGAGTTTATGGATCATATTATGACATGCCTCCAGTGTCATAAAAATAAAAGGAAAATAATTTACAACTGAGACAATTATTCTGAATGCATGGGAGTGAAAAGTGAGATTAACTGTTCTGAACGTGCAGGAATGAAAATTGAGAATTACTATTATGAATGCATGGAAATGAACACTAAGACTGATGACTATAAGCTGCAGTCCATACACTTTCATAAGTGACCAATATTTTATGAGGGAAATAAATTGCCATAAATAAATATTCATTATCATCTTCATGGTATCTTAATAATACATGTGAAATCTGAACTTCTTATGATGATGAGTACAAAAATTTCAGTCTTCTGGGATATGATACTGTGGTGTTGGATAAATGAATGCTAAGGTACTCGAGGAACCTGCTGCTTCAACCTTCAGGTTGGAAGACATCAGATTTTTAATCTCCAGCTACAACATCCTGCTAGAATATGACTTCCCAGTCATCAAACATTTGATATTATTTAACTCAGAAACATAAAAAGCAAGCACTGCAATTTGGAATAAGTGTATAACTGTTATAGGGCCGTGCCATAGCTCAAGCGGTTAGTCGCTGGCTTCCCATTGCGGCAGCCCGGGTTCAATCCCGGGTCTAGTCAAGAGGGATTTGTGGTGGACAAAATGGTGCTGGAGCAGGTTTCCTCCGAGTACTTCGGTTTCCCTTGCCAATCTTCATTCCACCAATTGCTCCACAATCACCCTCACCTATCATCTGGGGCTGGTACAATAGGCCAGAAGTGGCCGCAGTACAAGGGACTTAGTCCCACCCCACTAGCAATAAAAAAAATCTGTTATAGAAGCACAGATTATTCTCAATTCCCATTCCACTAATAATGCAGTTGAAATACAGAATACAGAAGGGAATGAAGGAGGTATTTATGTGATGTATCATAAATAATCTCTCTGTGTTACTCTGCAGGAGAAGCTGTGGTGTGCTGTACCATGGTTCATATGCAAGACAATTAATTTATCGATACAGTTTATTGGTTTTATACACTACATCCTGATGGAGGATAAACCAGAAAATCAGGTCCTCGCCACAGCATTATTTAACTTCGGTAATATTTTATTGAGAAACACATCACCCAACATAAAGCAATACATATTACTAGCATAAAACCTGTTGAAATATTAACAGGAAAATGTTTAGTTAGTCAAGAAATTCTCCAGCTGTTACATTACACAAAAGGCACATTATCCTGTCTATAAGAGCCCACTGCTGATCCTTATTCTGATAAATACAAGTTCAGTTCACACCATTCCACCTCATTCCTTTCAGATCAATATTATTATTACTGTTACATATACACTTACATGTTACAAGTGGTTTATTCATTTCTGGTTTTCCCAATAAAACTCTGTATAGAATTTCCATCTTTCCTGTTTATGCTGCATGACCTTGTAAATCTCATCCTCCTTGATATAATCAAACCTAATAACAGAAATTACTATTCTCCTTATTTCGCAGTTTTCTCCAACCTGAATCTGAGATGTCAAAATTGTTCTTGCTAGCATTTTGAAAAATAAAAATGTAGTAAATATTTTCCATGTTAAATATATTTGCCTGTCTGTTTAACACATAATATGAATTAATAAATCATAAAAGTTGGCTAATAACCACTAACCTAACCAACTGGCTCTACAGCCCTTTGTGGGCCTTGGCCTCCTGCACCAACAGCCTCTAAGCATCTCTGTCTATTGCAGTGGATCTTCAGGGTAGGCTAAAAACAAAACATTAATTCTATAGAGCAGAGTCATACTGAGAAGCCGGTAATCACTCAGTCAAAGTATTCCCTGTCTTTTATGAAATTTGACGTTTCATCATGAGTGTTCTTAAGAGCCAAACACTGGACCCTATCCTGCTGCACCCTGAATTCAGTCCACATTCACACACCCTTCTTCTTTAAGATCCATTTTATTATTATTATTATTCTCTCTATGTTCATGTCTTCTACATGATTCTTTCTCTTTAGGTTCTGCGACTAAAATGTGTACATCTCTTTTCTCCCTTATGGATTATATATTCTGCCCATCTCACATTCTGCAATTTGATCAAATAACAAAATAATTTTCTTGTAATTTTACAAATACAATATTTATACCATACAGTAGTGCAATACATACCTCATTTAAAAACTGAATGGTGATTATGGATTCCTTACCATCATCACAGTGGTATGTCAGTGAGAATCATACAGTATGCCATTTAATAGTTTCCTGTTGCTGAGATCTCATGCTTCAAAATTTATAATTTTTGCAATATTATATCAAAGTGAAAAATTTCAAAGGATTGGATGTGATCTTCTGACAGTGATATATAAATATACCAGCGCATTATAGAGTTATCTATTAGTATAATGAGAAAAGGGAAGGCTAACTATAATTTTTGTCTACTTACAGTTGTTACTCTAATCTTCTGGTGTACTGTATATCAAACGGTACAAAGATGGATAAGGCAAGACTCGCATGATACTTCATACACTCGTATTGTGGCGGAAGCAGATAATCTTCATAAATTTGATCCTTCTCAGTTGACACACGTGAACTGTGACATTCCTCCTTAAAAAGCCACACATTCTCAGTTGAGCGACCAGGAGTTATATATCAACTGTGACAATTATGGTTTACGTCTGAATCCTAAAATAAAGTAAATGAATCTTGATTTCTTTCTGTACGTGAATCAGATTGTATGCAGTATATAATCTCTAATATTATTACTGATCTTTGATATAAGTTCTACTTTATTCATAGGAATTCAAGTCAGGTTCATTCCTTGATTTGTCTGATTTCTGTCAATAACATAGTTACAAAATTTTACTTTCTACAGCAAATATGTGTATTTTACTAAGAAGTCAGTGACATTTATAGCTGCAGAACTTACTTCATATGCAGTTATTTTTGTACTAATCTTACTCTACCCAGAATATTATTTTACATGAAAAATTGTGCTTTAAAAACAAATGTGAATAGAAGACCAATAAACTAAAGTGTAATGTCAGGAAATGCCCAGTCAATTCTGTCATCAGTTATTTATAAACAAGAACAAATATCGAAATAGAACACTTCTAAATAATTTATTACTTTGAAAAATCCTTGTACTTTGTGTCTGTAACTCTTGTATTATTTTGCTGGGAGAAACAGTAAATAAAACTCATTATGACTAAGAAAAAATAACTAATTTTTAATTACTGTTAAAAGAGTATGACTTTTGTACTTGAGGTTTAAATACCATTATGTTACATGTTAACATGAATTGTTCCCACACAGCAGGATAATATGAGAAATTTTCGCAATGCTATTGGAGTATTTAGTATGTAAGATTTGAGCATTTAATAATTTTTTTATTATTGTACATTGTAAGAAAAAATAGTTTTAATAAACATATTTAACGTCAGTAGCTGTACCTTTACCCATATGCTTACAATACAATTGCTAAAATAATTAAAATGTTTAACTTGACAATTTCTAATATGGTATAGAAAGAAGGAAACATATAATTATATTCTAAAGGGGTCTGTTGATGGTGTATAATGCTCAGAATTACTGGGTTTTTGGGCTCTATCCATCATTTGGTATTTTAAAAAGAACATTAAAGAACAGAATGTTTTGGAAACTGGATCTGAAACAGTAACATGTAATTAAGTGGGTGTTTGTGATAGGATCAGTGCAGGTGAAGAGGGGCTTGCCAATACCCAGAGGGTTGTTGAGCGGTCCAATAATTTCTTGCAGCATGGTTGGCGAGAGGTCTGATACTGTATAGAATGCTGAACAGGGACCAAACAGTGTCAAGGGTGCCAAAGAGCAACATGATAATGCCCAGAGAACTGAAGACATTATCATCAGACATTGTCACTTTCTAGTTATTACTAGCACCAGACGTGCAGATGTTCAATTCCTTCCTAATTAATTTTTGGCTCTGAAAATACTAGCGATGAAGAAATGCAATCTAATATATATTTTGCGAATGTTAGATACATATGTGTGCGTGTGTGTGTGTGTGTGTGTGTGTGTAACATTCGCAACATTAAAGAGCTATACTAGCTACGTACAGTGACAGTACACAAATGTGATGATTTCCAAACATTTTCTCTGTAGTCAATTATACTAGACTGAGGGTGTTTGAGAACAGGGTGTTGAGGAGAATATTTGGACAGAAGAGAGATGAAGTGACAGGAGGTTGGGGAAAACTGCATAATGAGGAGCTTCATAACTTGTACTCTTCTCCAAGTATAAATAGAACGATCTAGTCAAGGAGGATGAGGTGGGCAGGGCATGTAGCACGAATGGGGAGACGAGGAATGCATATAGGATATTAAGCCAGAAGGAGAGAGACAACTGGGAAGACCAAGGCGTACGAGGGTGGGTGGACAATATTAAAATGGATNTGGGTGCCAGAGCCGTTCTAGAGTCTATGTAGGAGAGAAAAATCCCTTACCCCTGCCGGGAATCAAACCCCGGTCCACCCCGGTAATCCAGTCTTTAAGCCTAATCGCTACCGATTGACCTATTCCGTCTCCTGAGATGATTCCTCCTCTATCATGGATAAACGTGAACAGTGTCGGTGTTTCGTATGCTGGCGCATTATTTTAAATTACGAAAATTTTAAATTTAAAGAGAAACTGATGATTGTAAATTCGATAGAAATAAAAAAGGCATTTCCACTAATTGACAAATATTATTTAATAAATATATATTTATTATAAATACTAAATTACTGTACACAGTGCCACCAGGAAATATCACAGCGCCCTCTGAATTTCTTGCAGTATTTAACTGTGAGGGCTGAGGCGGATGAGGGACCATACGCACGAGGTGCACGAGTCATCATCATTCGCGCAACGGAACTTGCAAGAGTTAGACCAGTTAGACCACGGATTCCGAGTCCACTTTGCAGGCAAGAACTTTCGAGTGTCCACTTCATTGTACAAAGCTTCTTTTATATTCTTGAAAGAAACGTGGAGTAGTATACTAGAAAAAAAATTATATTAAATGATGGAAAACTACAAAACTACGGCGAGATTAGTCGCTGCGTCGGATATTGTGAGTCAAATATTAAGTTTACTGTCAAATACACAGATTTATTTTTAATTACGGCCACTCATCAATACATACCTGAAACGGATCTAATATTTTTTGAAAGTGTAGTCAGCCATTCATTAGCATTTGAAAGTCCGTTACTGTTTATATGTTGTAAAAGGAGATGAGAAATATCCAAAGAATATATATTTTCTCGCCTTGACAACGCTGTGCATTAGATTTCTGGTTGCTAAGATTGTTATAGTCAGTGTGCGGATTTTCTCTACAGGCTGTCTGAGAAATCTATGTTCGACTTGACATAACTACTACGAATGTTAATTTACGTAATGCTAAATTAATAGTAGGGGCTTTTTGATTACCGTAAAAGGTGGGAGAGTGTTCCAATGTGTTGCTTAGGTTTGAAAATCTGCAATATGTTATAATATTCAAAAATATTATTCACCGGTAGTAAAAATGTTTAATGAAAAGTGTGTAATGATGAATGTTCCTGTTACGGTGGAACTCTTGAAGTAGTACATATTTTAAAACTGCTCTATCTGAAAGTAATTTCCGATTTTTACTCGTAGGAAACAGTTAAGAATTAAACAATCTAATAGGTAGGGCGGAGGACATGACAACTTTTTTACGAGTCTAAATTATTTTATAAATTAGCAAAAGCACTGATGTAAATATGTACGGCCGCTGCCACTAAATCTATCGTTTTCTCCGTATTTGTATCATGTCCATAAGTCTGCACTAAACTTTTATAAAATATGTGAAATTTAAGTTATTCTCTGTTACGGTATGTGGGTTCAAATGCAGAAAATATTTTCACCGACTGACACGTAAATGTTGAGGTATTCCATTCAGTAGCAGAATGAAATTTCCATAGTCAAATACGGGAGGACCAATGAACAAGAAATCCTGGAACTAATTTGGAATTCTGAAAAGGCGTAGATCTAATAGTGCAGTTCGTAACAGGGTAAATGGGACTTTTGTGAATATTATAATGAACCTTCGGATTTCATGAAAGGCAGAGAATATATAGATTAGCTGAATTCCTGTTCGATTATCAGGAAAGTCGTCGCTCCATGAATTTCGTTCACATTTGTTTTGGTCTTGATAGTGTACTCGAACTTCAGAAGCGAAGTCTTCAATTCTGAAGTGTAGAACTGAAATGTACAAATTAGCGGACTTGCAGATGCCATGCCACAATGAGATACACTTAAACAGTGACGAACATTTGTGATAGCTTCGTATGTCTATAAATACGAGCTATTAACAGTTTCAGAAGGAAAGATATTTTATCTAATGTCACGTTTTTATTTCAGATTTTCACCATGTTTGTGTTTATTATGGAAGTATCCCATGGCACTAATTATGTAAAACAAGGGACATATTTTCGACTACTTGGAATTGAGTTAAAAGAAATGTTTATTAACAATCCGGATTTAGGGGAATGTAAGTAGATGGTATGCTTTACTTATCGTCGAATATATTTCAGGGCACATAATGAATTCGTAATGAAATGAAATGTAATGTTCTGTAAAGTGCTTTNCTATTTTGTGTACTATGTATTGTAGCATATAAGTGTACGTACTTTACGTCTAAACAACTTATGTGATGGTGGTTTCCTATATGTAGTGATGTTTGCCCTCTGAAGATGGCCCACAGAGACCGAAACATGTAAGGGTGTTAAGTTTTCATGTAGTAAAAAACTTACAGGTCACACTGGACGGAGTGATTTATATTTGTAACCCTTAATTTTTAAAGGGCAGGTAATTTTCAATTTCTATGAAGACCAAAGACATTTTGTTATGAATTCATTTTGTCATAGGACAGGAATATTTTTTATTCATATTTCGAGTTATGAAATATTTGTTCTGCAGGTGTGCCGACGAAGTTCAAACTCTATAGTTTTGTGTGCCCTATTCAAATATCGCATATTAATTAAACACGCGAGAACGGAAGCAACTCCCTATTCTAGCTCCCCAGCGCACACTGACGACCTGACGACAGTTTGTACCGCTTGTACAGGCTTGTACTGACGGTTAGGAGCTTGTAAAGCTTGTAAGGCAGTGTAGGCTGTAGTTACGGCAATTTAACGAATTATCATTACCAAGTTCAAACCATCACGCGAGTACAACACTTAAAACAGAAGACTCGAAACTGAGATTCTGCTGGAATGTCTTCATGCCCTACCAGACGTAAATGAAATTTGAAAACCATCGGGCGTGACTTAATTCTAGAGCAATGTGGGAAAGACAATTTGGGCATTTCTTGTTCATATACATCCAAAAACCGTCAAATCTGTGTATATTTACTTTGTTTAAGGGAACATAAAGTAAAAAGTAAAGGTATCCCTGTAACAGGCCGTGGAGGCCTATAGAGTTGTGAGATGTTGAGGTTCCCACATTTTTAGACAATCGGCTCATAGATGGCGGCAAGGTTGTCAGCCTTACCGGCCGCCCTTTACCCCCAAGAATATTACAAAAACGTTCCTGGTACTAATTTCTGTTAGTGGCTTAGTCGACCCCATGGCCATAGTGCGGCTGGAAGGATTAGGTCAATTGAAAAAAATGACCTCACCGGGACTTGAACCTGCGACCTTCCGGCTTGTAGCATAATGCCCCCTTTGTTTAAGGGATCAAACTGACATTATCTCATACTATCATAATATTAAGTCAGGCAATCATTCATATACAAATAATTTATTATTACCCAGAAAACCCTTGTTTAGATTTCGTAGTGTAGATAAATACAATATTTCTTTTTAATTTTATTTATTCGCAATTAAATATAAGTAGTCATTCAAATAGTCAAATATGCTTTCATCAGGGTCGATTATTTATATATAAAATGTCACCTCAAAAATCACATGTATTGCACAAAAGGAAAGTTGTATTTGTAGGCATTGTTGCCAATAATTCTGTACACTGCCGTCTTTGTATCCTCTCTCATTTACAGTGTTACTGAACTGTCTTAAGGGTAAGGCATTTGTTTTCCAGTGAGTTCAGGAGCTAGAGGCAGGTCCGCCTCCTTCCATAGACTTTCCACTTAATTATTCAGTAGTCATCCGAATATTCGTCGCAATATAGGCTCGAGCTACTAAGAGGATTTTTAAACGAATCGAAATTAGCGTAGTTGGTTGAGGGGCTATGCTACAAGCCGGAAGGTCGCGGGTACAAGTCCCGATGAGGTCACTGGATTTTTTTTTCAATTTACCTAATCCTTCCAACCGCACTATGGCCCTGGGGTTCACTCAGACTCTAACAGAAACGAGTACCAGGAATTAATTAAATAATTTTCCTGGGGAGTAAAGCGCGGCCGGCACGNGCATAAGGCTGACAACCTTACCGCCATCTTTGAGCCAATTGTCGAGATAATGTGGGACTCTCAACGTCTCACAACCCTGGACCTTCACGGCCTGGTACAGGGATAGCTTTACTTTTTTTTTACTTACTAATTGATCACATGTATTTCACAAGAGGGCGTTGTCACTGGCACTGGTACGGTACACTGCTTCCCGAATTCGCCTTTTCGCCTACTTAAAATGCTGCTCAACTGTCGTTAACAGTAAAATGTTCTCTCTCGTTGCAGTTCGTCGAGATATTATACTATTCTGCATCTTCTATACATTGATGGAGTTCATTGTCTCTGCTTTGCTCTTTTTTGGGCTTGATGTGGTAAGCCTATTTGTTACGATTCTTTACTAGCAATCAAAATAAAAGGTTTATTTCAGAACTGAGACGTCTACCTCTTATACGTAAGTGCGAACTGAGTATGGTGCATATGTATTTCTAACACTTGTTTACTGATGCACTGTTACGGGCCTCTCCCTTGAATTATTTACAAATTTTTACTCAAAATAACTCGACTACTTGAAATATTAATATCCTGAGAAGGGTTCGGGGGAACGCTGTGTAAATTTTGTGTCTTGATCTGAGTAATACATTTCTGTAACGGCAGAATTAATATCAATGAAAAACTGAAAATCTCGTATTAAGCCAGGCGAAGCGACAATTTTTCGCCCGAATTTTATTCAAAACTATACATAAATGATGAAATTATCTATTTATTACGAATGTGTTATGAATATGTATTCCGCTTGATAAATGATTGTTCTGCTCACTGATCGTGACAGTGTTATCAATACGAAATCTTATTCTTTATTTATAAATTGTAGACCTAGATGTATACCAATTTTTGGGCTACTGTGATGAACTTTTTATATGGTATATTTTAACATGTTTGCTTTGCTGTGCAGAGGAGGATTTGGTGCGCAGTCCCGTGGATGTTATGCAAGAGTGTCGTTATCATAGGGCAGGTTTACGGCCGCATTAATTACTTTATACATGAAGAAAAAGTGAGACCAATCATCATCATCACATCATTTATTGTCTTCGGTAATGTCACGTTTGGTTTTGTATTAAACATAACTGAACTGCTCATTGAATTGGATAAACTGAATAATATTACTACAGGAACCATACTTCTTACACTTGTACATGCCTAATTTCTGAGTAACTCATTCTCAACCGAAGAAAAATAGGAATACATCTCGGAATTATTTATGAAAAGAGTACAATTTAGAGGTGTACAGGTATTACAATAGACGGCGTTCTAATTCTCGCATATGTAGGCAATAATATCGTTATTATTATTATTATTTTTTTTTTTGCTCGTTATGCTGGGAACAAATGCAGAATAGGGAGAATAAGACATAACGCTGCCTTATAAGTTAACACAGATATTATACAAATAAGAATGCAGTAATAGAATGAGAATTTCTGCTGGTTGTGAAAAAAAGAATGAAATTAAAATAGCCCAATTAACTTGATTACTGAACCATTTCGTTTGTCTAATTTTTCAGAAAAGTAATGATTCTCTGAGGATCAAGTCGAACCGAATTTAATAAAAAAGAGTATTAAGAGTTGGTATTAAAAATAACATTAGTACATGTGTTATTTTTTACTATACTTGAGTAGACTAGATTAGTATGCATAAAAGAAATTCGGCTATTTATGACGACACTCTATTAGCAAATCATGTTAATTTCTACTGAAACATATCTACCTTCCTTTGCCTATGTGTAGACAGCAAGTGTTAATTTATTGTGATTTTTTTATTCCTCAGTGATGCTTCTTGGCCAATTGGCTGCTGTGCTCTATGCTATTCGAGAAATGTTGAAACAGAGGCGGCGTTCTCAAATTATGGAAGGCCGTGACACGTCCCAAGATAAATTCATTGATGTTCGGAGATATGAAAAGGCGTCTGAAGTTGTTCAGAGAGACGAAGAGGAGTCTGAAATTGTCCAGAGAGCGAGAGAATCATCTAAAGTTGTTGAGGGAGCTGAAGATAAATCTCGAATTTGCCAGGAAACGAAAGAGGAATTTCAAGTTGTTCAAGGAGCAGAAGAGGCGTCTGAAATTCCTCAGGGAATGGAAGAGGCTTCTAAAGTTGCTCAAGTATCGGGAGAGCCTTCTGAAGATGGTCGAGGAGCGGAAGGGTCCACTGATGTTGCTCGAGGAGCAGAAGAGTCCAATGAAGTTGCTCGGGGAGCGGAAGGGTCCCCTGAAGTTGCTCGGGGAGCGGAAGGGTCCCCTGAAGTTGCTCGGGTAGCGGAAGGGTCCACTGAAGTTGCTCGGGGAACGGAAGGGTCCCCTGAAGTTGCTCGGGGAACGGAAGAATCCTCTAAAGTTGCTCAGGGAGCTGAAGAGCCCGCCGAAGTTGCTTGAGGAGTGGAAGAGCCTTCTCAGCAAGTGGAAGAAGAATCTGAAGCTGACCGGAGGGCTGATGAGGGGATTGATTCTGTTCAGAAGCCTAAGGAGATGTGTGATACTGATCAATCTTAATAATTCCGATTAAACCATAGACAACTCTAATACTTCTGCCCAAATTATCATAGTCTTGTTTAATGATTATGTAGCTGCAGCTTTGGAACATTTGTTTGACAGATGAGATTAACTTTCTCTTTTCCAGAAAGGCTTAATAACGCAAAATACATTTTAATACTTTATCATCAACTTGCATTGTATCAATATTATTCTCCGAGTCTTTCAATTTGGGTTCTTACATTTCTACTCTTACTTCTGATAGTATTTTTAATCTACTGTAGTAATTCAATTGGGTTTAAGTCTAATCTACATATGACACATGGCATTATTCTACATAAATTACTACAGACTGAAATCTTTTAGGTGACATAGGGATGGAAGATTATGAAGAGTAATGTTAAAAGATTACTAGCTCTGCAGTATTACATAATATGAGAAAGCAAATATACAGTACACACTACAACAATGCTGACACATTTTACGGCTCAGGAAATTTGTTCTATTCTTGATCAGCAATTCAGATTCATTTTTACATAAGGAAAAGCAAATTCAGAGATCCCTTTCTCTCCAGTATTAACTGGAAACGAATGATTTATTTTAGTTTTAGTATATGCAANTTACAAAAAAAAAAAAAAAAAAAAAAAATGTAACAAAAGTGTGACAGATGTGCACTCTTATTCTTAACACAAATAATGTTTGAAGTATATCACACTCTTAAAAATAAAAAAATTAATTTTAATGATGTAACTCTTTTATTTCATCTGGAAAGGCTGGCAAAACTTTTCGCCTGCTGGGATGATAATTAAATTGGGCCATTAGAGCTTTCTTTTCCAATTTATTGTTCATTAATCATCCTTCCATTTGATCCTGTACAGTCTGAGCAGCAGAGAGCGTTGTTATGTAAACCTTGCAGATATTCAGTACCAGAAAATACTATAATTGTGAATATTATACAAGCAGCAATACTAATTATGAGTGCAAAAACCTCTCCAACAACAGTTTTGCCAGCCATGTGTATACTGTGGTTTCAATTTGTGAGCACACAAAAAACATTATGTTTCATAACTACGAGATCGCCATTTGGTATGGGATGAGCCGTAATATCTAACACCATGGAGCTGAGCCATTCTTGAGAAGCAGCCAGTTTTGCAGCTAGTCAAAGAATTTCCCATCTTACAGAATCCAAAGATTCATTAATGTTCACAAGAGCCCTCCACTGGTCCCTATCCTGAGCTAGACCAATCCAGTTCATATCACCCCAGCCTACCTAAGGTCCACCTACATCTAGGTCTTCCTAGTGGTCTCTTTCCTTCTGTCTTCCCCACCAACATCCTATATGCATCCCACAATAGATCCTTAGCTTCTGGATTACAATTGGGATGTCTTTTCGTGACACTTTTAACTATGTCATTAACTTATTTTTTGCTTTTTTTTTAGTGAAGAAATAGGCAACTTTGATTTACTAATGGTAATTATGTTTCACCTAACCACCAGTGTCCTTCAAGAAGGTAACTCCTGAAGTTTGCAAGGATTGCTGTATAACAAGTCCAATTCTAAAATAATGCCAGATATAAATATGGCTCTCATTTTTATATGTATATATAAAATGGCCTATTTGCACCTTCCATACCTCGTATTAAAATGAAGCTCTGGTTGAATCTGCAGTTTAGTATGCTACCATATAATCCAGATGACAATATTAAGCCCATCATGATCTGTGAGGTGGGTAAGGATGAACAAATTGGAAGGGAGCTGGACTCGAGCAGGCCTCAGCAGATTGATGTTGAAGCAAAGAATAGAGTGTAGTCCCCAAACCTGACACAAAAACAAAAAAAGAACTTTCCTTATTCTGTGGACAGTTATCTGCAACCAACCATTTTAACAAGCATTATCTAAAATATTTTAAAGTTAATGCAACTTTTCCCAACCTGGCGGCATTAGGCCATGATAAAAAAATAAAGGCAAAAAGAAGTGATTAGATTCTTAACATTTTTCAGCGGTATTCATCTCCAAATAAAGAACACTGCAGCATTTTCATTTTAAGATTTCAAACCTTTTATTCAGTTCTGATGTAGTACTAATTATTAGCTAACCGAACATAAGAAATATATAAATGCAAGTGCACATATTTACTTCTATTTCAATAAAAAAATTGGCATGAGGGCTTGGTGAAAGGCTATATGATGGGGTGTGGGGATGTCATAAATGTTGTGTATGACTTAAAGTGAATGCAGTCATGAATAGCCTGCACCTTGGCACACACTGCTAAAAGAACTTTCACAAATACAGGGGATGGACAAAAATATGGAAACACCTTGTGAAATGCATGCCTGAACTGAAGTGTTTATTTTAGCGACGTCTGTAGGTGACGCTGTCTTATCTGCCCAATACCACTACCTGTACAACCTCCGCAATATGTTGCAAGCTTCATTTGTTGTCAAGACAGTGTTCTGTGCATCATGTCAGAGCTAACAGTATTCGAACGCAGGCAAATTGTTGGGGCCCATATGGTGGCTGCTTCCGTAACCAAGGCAGCCAAGGTTTTTGGTGTTTTGCAAGGCATATTATCCAAGATTATGACCTCATACAGGAGGACTGGAAAAACCGCATCCAATAAACACCAGCGTGGACAGAAATGTGTCTTGAGTGATCGAGACAGATGAACATTGCGTAGGATTGACGAAAAATAAGACTACAGCTGCAAAAGTGGCTGCTGAACTGAATGTCACACTCACAAACCCTGTCAACACCAAAACAGTATGAAGGGAACTCCACGAGCAGGGTATTTCTGGACGAGCTGTAATTCCAAAGTCACTCATCAGTGATCAAAGTGCCACTAAGAAGAGAGTGTGCTGCCGAAGTCATAAAATCTTGACTATGGAGCAATGGAAGATTGTCATTTGGTTGGATGAGTCCACCTTTACACTGTTTCCAACTTCTGGCTGAGTTTACGTCTGGAGAACGCCATCCCAAGCTTACGATCCAGATTGTTTGCTGCCAAGAGTGAAACATGGCTGGGGTTCAATCATGGTATGGGCAGCCATATCGTGGTATTCTGTCAGGCCCATCATTACCCTGCAAGGTCACGTCACTGCCAACGACTATGTGACCATTTTGTGCGACCAGGTCCATCCGGTGGTGCAAATTTGGTTCCCCAGTCGTGATGCCATTTACCATGACGACAATGGCCGTGGTCACACAGCTCACATCGACCAGGACTGGTTTTCTGAGCACTAAGATGAAGTGTCATGTCTGCCATGGCCCCCACAATCGCCAGATATCGATATTATTGAGCCTTTGTGGTATGTTTTGAAGAGCAATCTGCATACGCACTATCCACCTCCATCATCATTAACAGAACTTGCCAATGTTTTGCAGGAAGAATGGTACAAGATTCCCTTGCAAATCATACAGGACCTCTATTTATCCATACCAAGGAGATTGCAAGCAGTTCTGCAAGCCAGAGGTTGTCCTACACCATATTAATTATGGTAATGTGTTTTTTGTTGGGTGTTCCCATATTTTTGTCCATCCCCTGTACATAGAAATGTAACTAAATACATGTAAATGTGAAAGCAAAGTTAACATAAAAGTTGCTTGAAATACACAACTGAGGAAAAATATTTCACAATAAAGATACAAGAAGGTGTTCCAATTTTTTTTTATTACAGACATATATCATAGAACTTTTATTACAACTTTTTACACTTCAAAATTCAGTATTTTTAGAAGCAATTTAGAACCTATATTACAATAATTTCTGTATACTTATTTTTTATATGAAATAAAAGAAAAGAGATAACAAGGACCCTCCAAATATAGTGTTAAGACAACATGCAACACTCCAGATTGAAGTGGAAACATCTGGCATTTGACTCTCATTTGAAAACCTGCTCAGCCATATACAACTCTGACAAGACTCAAGAGATGTTTGGATTCCAATAGATTTAGTCACAAATATATCAAGATGGTAAAGAATACAAAATATTAGTTACCACCATGGAAAATTAGAAATAACTGGTGGTCACTTCACTATATTAAAGAAAGTATTCTATATTAGCCTGTAAATGCACCCTTCAGTAACCAATATTTAATTTAAAACCCAGCATCCTCTTGAACCTCTTGGTTCTGTGAAGGTATGCAGTTCAAAAACCACTGTTGTAGGCTGTACCTGAAAATGTAGAAAAATTAAATGTCCTAAATGTTAATTTCCACCACCCAGTATTGCAAACTGCTGCTAGAACTTCTACAGTATCATCACACAAATATATTGACTATAGACCCTTAAGTTTAAGTAATTCTTGATAAACCTTTTAGAAATGTAACAATTCACAAGTTTCTGTTAAATGTCAAGCTATTTTATGACCTTACGTAGTTTCTGTCTACCTGCAAGAAATGAAGGACTCCACAGCTGTAGAAGAAGCAACATGGCACAGACTTTGAAGACAATATGTGGTGATGATTGCAAGCACAGAGGATCTACAATTATCTGCAAGCTGTAGACTCAATAGTAAATATTTCTTTCTACCCACTCTACTATCCTACCTGATAAATATGAAGTGGAGTAATAATAATCATATAATAGGTATGGTTCTCCTTGAAGAATAGAACATTTCTGTGCTAGAAAGTGTAATATATTGTGACATGTTGACCCCTCCCACCCCTTAGCGGTAACGTAACGCTCGTGTAATAGGCGAGTAATCACCCCGCATCCTGGCAGCCATGCGCGGTGACGTCACGAGCGGAGCCGAAGATAGCCGAGCCCCGTAACCGGGTAACTATGCAAGGCGAATCAACAGCGGTGACGTAACCGGACAGCTTGGCTAGCAACAAGGGTGCCTATTACGTGGCCGTATTGTCCGATCGAGGTTACATAAGGAGCAGCGAAGNATTGCAAGCACAGAGGATCTACAATTATCTGCAAGCTGTAGACTCAATAGTAAATATTTCTTTCTACCCACTCTACTATCCTACCTGATAAATATGAAGTGGAGTAATAATAATCATATAATAGGTATGGTTCTCCTTGAAGAATAGAACATTTCTGAGCTAGAAAGTGTAATATATTGTGACATGTTGACCCCTCCCACCCCTTAGCGGTAACGTAACGCTCGTGTAATAGGCGAGTAATCACCCCGCATCCTGGCAGCCATGCGCGGTGACGTCACGAGCGGAGCCGAAGATAGCCGAGCCCCGTAACCGGGTAACTATGCAAGGCGAATCAACAGCGGTGACGTAACCGGACAGCGTGGCTAGCAACAAGGGTGCCTATTACGTGGCCGTATTGTCCGATCGAGGCTACATAAGGAGCAGCGAAGGCTATTCACAGTCAGTTGTACTGTAACAGTCGCCGAGTCGAGTTGTACTGAGTCAGCCAGTGAGTCCTGGAGCTACCGCCGAGTTAGCCAGCAACTAGTCAGTTGTATTCTGGCATTTGGAGTGTACTAATTGTGATACTGCAGATAGCAGTAACCGTAAATCTGTAATTTGGGTGATTGTAAGAGCGAATGTGAAATAAAATTCGCTACATCGAATACATCGAGAATTTATTTGTCGCGATATACGCCCGATACGCGACAATATCTACCAAGTAGACTCACAGTGTTCTGGAAAAAGCTGTCCTGACAGTTTACAATTCTGCAACCTTTATGAATATTATATTCAGTGTTATATTACCACCAGCAAAAAATGTGAAATTACTTTTATGACACCCGTAGCCAAGAAATATAAAAAAATTCTGAGTTCCCAAGCTAAGTCTATTTCAAGAATGGATCAAGAACAAGAAGGTGAAACTAACAGTCCATGTATTCCAGGTAAAGATGGAATGGCCACCTCCATTGCTTCATATGCGTAGTTATATATAAAACAATAATTTGCCTCATTTCACATTTACAGAAGCTTCTTCCACCTGTACTTTTTCATATGTTACTATTCAGCTTATGTAATGTGGTACATGGCAATTAGAACAGCAATACAGTGAATGCCTGCTTATTCATGGTAACAGATGCAAGAAGTAGCACAGATAATCAAACACAACAGATTATCCAACAATCTGAAAGTATGCACTATCCATGCTGCATTCAGTCCTTAAAATAAGTTGGTTACTAGATGGAGAGATAATTACCTTCCCACTGAAAGAAAGCAACCCTTGTTCTGGGTTATAAAGCCAGGAAAAGCGATTAAATAATAAAGCAGAAAGTTACAACATAAATATCACTGATATATACATATTACTAAAACAGAAGGAACAACACTTCAATTGTTACACGAAGATACATCAATAACCAAAGGATTCTGAAAAGTTGTATGTTTAATATACATATGGATATTCAAGAATCTACTGTATGACTGCCATGCGACAAAATTATGTTGGAAAAAACATCTGTATCACTGGCTACCAACTGTACGTGATAAAAACATCGTAAGCTTCTTCCACCTGTACTTTTTCATATGTTACTATTCAGCTTATGTAATGTGGTACATGGCAATTAGAACAGCAATACAGTGAATGCCTGCTTATTCATGGTAACAGATGCAAGAAGTAGCACAGATAATCAAACACAACAGATTATCCAACAATCTGAAAGTATGCACTATCCATGCTGCATTCAGTCCTTAAAATAAGTTGGTTACTAGATGGAGAGATAATTACCTTCCCACTGAAAGAAAGCAACCCTTGTTCTGGGTTATAAAGCCAGGAAAAGCGATTAAATAATAAAGCAGAAAGTTACAACATAAATATCACTGATATATACATATTACTAAAACAGAAGGAACAACACTTCAATTGTTACACGAAGATACATCAATAACCAAAGGATTCTGAAAAGTTGTATGTTTAATATACATATGGATATTCAAGAATCTACTGTATGACTGCCATGCGACAAAATTATGTTGGAAAAAACATCTGTATCACTGGCTACCAACTGTACGTGATAAAAACATCGTAACTTTGCTTGAAATCTTCATATTTGGCTGTTTACAAGATGATACAGAAACAACAGAATCTTAAATAATGTTTTATTTCTCAACCTATGTCAGTAATGGTATAATTGGAGATCTTGAAGCCAAACATATATTCAATACCCCATATATGCTACTACACAAAATAACAGAAGAACCTATTCTTTGTCCAGGTTGTATCTTCTGCAAATGCCAATGTCTGTTCACCAGTCATATCTTTTCTGTCATAATTTTCGTAAGCTTAACTGTTGACCAGTCAATTCAGAGTGCAAAAGGGGTGGAATAATTATGACCTGTAAAACGTTCAGCCTGGCCTGCAGCAATATTTAGACACTGCAAATAATATGGTATGTTAAGTTTTAATTCCACATAAACAGTTAACCAAATGTATAATTACAAAAATCTAGGGGAAAAAAAACAGATTCTGAAGGAAATTCATGCACTGGGGTATCTCTTACACATATTTACAAATACTCCTATAGCAGCAAATGAAAAAATCAAATGGTGCCACTCCAGATTTTATTTAACATGTTCCTTAAAACACTGAGAATAGCAACCATAGTTTAGGATACTCTCTGAATTGTTACAAATAAAATGTCCGAACTACAGAATTTTTGTCACAACTCAACAGCCTGCAGTCAATTAGAAACAGACCTATTTGGCCTTCAGGTAAAGATAAATGCCCATCTCTGATCCAAATTAACGATTTCATGCAAATGTCTGGCATGTTACAGCACCAGCACAGTGCCAGAAATCAAATTCTTTGAAAATTAAGCTTCTGGAATGAAATGCACACTACTTGGAGGAATACCAAAATGACAGTAATTTTCCACAGTGAGTGTAACATGAGTTTAGTGGAGGCAGGATTGAGGATCATTGCTATAAGCCAACACACAATCTTCAAGAATGTTTGATTTCATATACAAAATGGTTTTTATATTCACCACAACACAGAGGAAAACACTCATTTTCACTTAATGACAAAATTACAGGGCACTGAATACAGAATGTGGAAGTGTAAAGGGCTAATTAAACGTTTTCATTATACTCAACTCTTATTTAATTTTCCTTTTATGCATCTAAAGTTAACAGTTCATCGCAGCCTGAAAACAAACACCTGAACAAAGAAGATTCAGTTTTCACTGATGGTTTTTCACCTGTCTACGAAAAATATTGCTGAGTCTTCGGCCACGTGGAGTGACAGGAGTATTCTGCAAACAGAACAAGTTTTTACAGTCATAATCCATGCAACATGACTTAAAAGAAGAAAAACTCTCACTGAAATTAAAAAATCAAGAAATAGCACTTCATTAACAGAACAGGGACTACAAAAATATCCATAAAACCACAAATCATTTAGTGCTGCTTCAATTAGGTAAGCAAGTTTTCTAGTAGAATATAGAAATACTGATGCATAAAACAGTTACATAAATCATTAATATACACAACATAAAAATAATTTATACTTGTATTAAATTTTAATTAGTTTACTTTATTTTTAAATTAATCTTAAAGTTAATATTAAGATATTTTAAATTAATCAATACATCCCTAGACAGCAAAATAATAGCGATGCTGTGCCTATAAACATTAGGAATCAACTGTAATAATGGACAAAATTGTAATATATGGATCCATATACAAATTACCAACTCAGTAATTTAAGTTTGTGGAATGTATTGCCTGATGGTGACTTCATGAAAAGCCAAAAAAAAAAAAAAATGTAGCAAAATTGTATTTTAACCCAAAATAAACATATAATTAACACAATAAATTGTGAGAAAAATATTTGGTAATTTTTGTGTGGACAGAAAAAACCAATTAAATATATATACCCACACTCATTAAGAATTCAGCAGGAAGTCCCAGTTTTGTTCTATTAACTTCCCCTGCTTTCTTGCATATTCCTCTCTAGCCCTACATGTTATCAAATGATGTACTGAGGCTGCCATTTAAAGGCATCTGCATGAATGACATTCACAAATAGTAAATCATAAACTATCTCATGCACATAGTATACTACAATTCTTTTTTTTTTCACTGGTTCTACAGTCCCCTCGGGCCCTGGCCTCTGATTTTTTCAGTGATCATTTTACTGACGGTAGGACTCCTTTGACTAGTGATCAGCTTGTCACAAGGCCTCTACCTAAACACAGGACAACATAAACATAGAATAAACATATACACATACCAAACATCCATGCCTCGTGTGGGACTCGAACCCACAATCCTGGCTTCTGAGCAAGCAAAGACAGTACATGCCTTAGACCGCTCGGCCACTTGACACTACAATTCATATATCCATATCAAAATATTATCAGTATTCACAGAACAGACATGATAAACTGAAATTAAAGATTGCTTACTCCTTCATGATCTATGCAACTTACATTCTTGCAGTGTACTAATGCTTGACAATTTGTTGCTGTGGTAGCCCGAAATTGCATAATGATAATGATAAATCACACGCTTACAAAACTTTATTTACGTAGAAGGGTAAGGAAGCAGGAATGTGCAGAAGTATACATGTTTCTACATATGTTGTTTGAATAACTTGCACCTACAATAGAATTGACAATGGGGTGGCGTCCAAGATTTCCAGTCAGTTCTAAAAGGGATTTTCAGGTCCATAGCAGGGTTCAAGGACTATATCCTAGAATAAAAGTCCTTCATTTTTCTGTGTCATTGATGGTAAAATATTACCTACCTGAGGGCAATGTGCAACTAGGCATAATTCATATTATTGTCAATATAGGAATATGGGAATTGTAAGGAAGTTAAGTTAAATCACACCCTCAAGTTCTGAGAAATACTTATCATGCCTGTTTTCTTCTGAAGGCTTCAATTTGTAAATGCAGATCAGCAGAACTTATAACAATTATACAAACTAGTGACTTATATCTGTGCAAAATTTCCACTACAATAAATACATAATTTCTGAAACATTTCAGGCATAATCTCAAAAGCCCACACTGTAACCGAATTCACAGCAGTTAATAATTGTTGGTATAAAACAGAAAAGTGTGAATTTTTGTATTGCCGTTATGTTACATTATATTCTTTATGGCAATGATATAATACATTTACATATGTAAAGTTGTCCCTGTGCTTAACTAATTAGGCACTAAGCCATGGAGATGCTTGGGGGAGTGGATGTATAGATACATGCATCAATTTTAATAAGTATTACATATTATTTCAACTGTCAACTGAAACAAAATTTCAGAACTCAATGGCAATATATTTGCTAACACCACAGAAGTTCACAGGCTGTCATGATAGTAATGTTGAGGAGAAGGAATCAAAAGGTATAAACTTAAGTATGGGTTATAAATATCAAATTTCATGAGAACCTTTAAGTCAAAGTGCAGTTTCTTCATGCATACAGACCAATGGATACAACATGTGTTTTTATTAAGCTTCAAATTGGAAATGGATGTACATTAAATTTACACGCTGCTAATAAAGTTCATACCAGTGCAGATATACTATTTGGTGCTTTGTTACTGAATTCTCAATTTCTGTTCTTCCTTCCAACTTACTTCAGTAAAATATTTTAAAGATTTAGAAGAACAGCTGATGTTACATAATTTCATTACTTGTTTCATAATGAGTCCCACAGCTTTTCTGTCATTCTCTAGGATAAAACTGCAAAACTGGGTGCACCTCCAAAACATAAAATATGTTAATGCAGAACTTTGATATGAGAAAGCAAACCATACCATTGAATTATTGTATGTTCTGAAGAAAACTAACCCAGTACAGAGTAGGCACTGAAAATAAAACTCGAACTGTAAACAATTATCTGTATTTTAAAACTGCAAAACACTCTACAATAATAAAATATAAAAACGGGACAAAGACATACCAATAACAATAATGTGTACACCTAATTTCTTGTTTTTCTTCATGCATTATATGTAGTTTGGGAGGTAAAAAGTTAAATAATTATACACCATATAAAGTAAAAACTTAAAGAATAAATACGTATATAGTCTGTCTGTATACAGCTCAAAGTCCAAAGGTGATAGCGCTGCTGAGATTATAGAGGTAGATTAGCCCCAGTAGTGTGGTTAGGAGTACAGAATACAGCAACACCACCCATCTCACCTCATCTCGACGATTCTTGTTTGTGAACAGTGATTTTAGACGACTTGGTGTTGATACTTTTCGAACACAAGCCCCATCGTTGCTCTCTCTCAGTGGTGCACGTGGTGTAAGCACCTCCATTCCCTGTAAATTATATTATGTATATGACTACCATGTATCAGTGCGACTTACAAAATGCACTTACAAATAAAAATAACAATTGTGTCAAAAATGTTTTGTTCATTTTCCTGCATAAGGTAATAGAAAAAATTATTTAATACACGAAGACTTGCACAGGCAGTACATGGTGTGATCACAGTTTCCAGCTTTTACTTTGTGTGTGACAACTGCATTTTTCCTTTACTCCATGCTGTCCCCTTCAAAGTAATTCCCTTGTGTCATGATGTACCACATCCAATGACTGCACCACTCTTATTTGCAGAAGCAATGTATGTTGAATTTGGCAAATGCAGCCTGTGATTAAATTGCAATGATGTCATCAGATCTCACCTCCTTTCAACAACTTAAGTTCTGTAAAAGCAAGTCACAAGGGGATGTGTTTCTGCACTTTTTCTTGAAGGTCCTGACACATACTGGCACGATTCTTCTTCTTCTTACCACTAGTTAGTAAAGACAAATTTTGCAGCAATCTGCTGCACATTCAGATCTTGTATAAAAATATTTTTGGCATGATTTAACTGATTTTACCACGTCATTATCCAATTTTTGGATAATGACACATTTCTTTTCATGAGCAGGTTCCTCAATTTACACCTCATTCTTGCCTGTTTCGCTTGTGAATGCTGAGCATCGTTAACTGATACTACTCCACATCTGAACTTGTGAAACTAATCATATGTTTGAGCCCTGCCCATCATTTCCTTTCTGAAAGGAAGTCTTAATATCCCCTAGATTCTTGTAGCAGTTTTGTCTAGTTTGAAATAAAACTTGATGCACACATGCTATTCTCTGAAGCCTGTTATGTTTTGAGAAAACACTCATCATAAAGGAAACAACACATAACCTCACTTCACATCATTACATCTGAGTGACATAGCTACACTCTGAAACCTGTATCAAATGACTCGGCAGATTCTGCTCTACCTAACTGCAGTAAGTCTGGATACTGACCGCACCATGTACAACTGATAAAATGTTTTAAATTCAGAACCTCACAAAAGTTATGCATTATTAAGATTCATAAAATTAATAATACAAAACACAGCAGCATTTTTTACAAGCATGCACCAGATCATTTATGAAATGCAGGAAAAGAAACATCTGCAAATTCATCAACATTGAAAAGCAAATTAATAATAGCACAGATATACACACTCATGACTCATCTATAAAGTGTCTGTGAAGAATATATGTCTATTTTCATAGATTCAGAAATACGAAATAACTACCATATGTACAACATAAATAGGAACTGCTAGTGCACACAACAGATTCTTAAAGTACACATGCAACTTGAATTAAAAGAAAAGAAAAAAAAAAAAAACAGAAATAGTGTTTTACATATGTTAGACTAAATAGTGCATATGAAAACAAGCTGAAGGAGATTTAGCAATAGCAGACAAGCCAGAACATGAACTCATTTGTGGAACACACCAAAGTAGAGGGAAAAGAACACAAGAAGCAATGTTACATCCATGCAAAACCACTATCTCACCTGTACAAACAGACGACCACCATTTTTACCAGGAGTTGGAGGACCTGGTTTCTTATAGGATGTCTGAAAATGAAACTATCTTACTTAACACAGAACTCACAGAACAGCTATAAAATGACAGTAAACAGGACGAGGGGAATTAAACTACACTGAGGATAACCAGCCAACCAAAATTCCCTGTTGATAGACTACTGCTAAAAATTAAAGTTATGAAGATCACCAAAGAATTGCCTGTTCTTATATAATTTTATACCTAAAATTATCAAATCCACAAGATAAATAAAATTATGAACCATGCCCTTATCATCAGAATGTTAAAAATCAATAATATATGATATCCTACTGACAATTCATATTTCATGGCTAGCTAACATATCTGCAAATTTTAGTCATTTCGCCTACATGTCACTTTAATAAAAACAATAACATTTGGACAGCAAATAAATCTGTTAGCTTAATAGCAGTAAAATTGTTTATTCATTTGCTGAAATTCATAAAGGAATTTCTCAATTACACACACACACATATATATATATATATTGTGACATGTTGACCCCTACCTCCCCAGCGGTAACGTAACGCTCGCGTAATAGGCGAGTAATCACCCCGCATCCTGGCAGCTATGCGCGGCGACGTCACGAGCGGAGCCGAAGATAGCTGAGCCCCGTAACCAGGTAACTATGCAAGGCGAATCAACAGCGGTGACGTAACCGGACAGCGTGGCTAGCAACAAGGGTGCCTATTACGTGGCCGTATTGTCCGATCGGGGTTACATAAGGAGCAGCGAAGGCTATTCACAGTCAGTTGTACGGAGTCAGTCAGCGAGTCCTGGACCTATCGTCGAGTTAGCCAGCAACCAGTCAGTTGTATTGTGGCATTTGGAGTGTACTAATTGTGATACTGCAGATAGCAGTAACCGTAAATCTGTAATTTGGGTGATTGTAAGTGCGAATGTGAAATAAAATTCGCTACCTCAAATACGTCGAGAAGTTATTTGTCGCGATATATGCCCGATATGTGACAACTGTGACCGACGGGATTTGGACTTACACACGTGACCGACGAGCTTCGAACTCAAGACACGTTACATTGGTGTCAGAAGTGGGATCAGTAACGCAAACACGCGACAACTGGTGTCAGAAGTGGGATCAGTAACGTAAACACGTTACAATATATATATCCAAAAAGTATTGAGAAAATCACGCACAATGATCTTCTATGATGTCTCACCTGAACCAAAATAAAATTTTAGACACCTTTTAATAAGGATTCTACATAAAAGTTCATAAAATTTCATTAATTTAAAGGAGTCATTGCATGCAGGCAAACATGAGCTAACAGGCTCTCGAATATGATTTGCAACATATGCCTAAAAGCTGTGAATTTTAAGTTCCATGCACAAATTTTGAGAATTAGTGGATAGGCACGCTGGTCCTAGATGCAGTATTGGGCAAAAAAACTGGCAGGTCACAGACATTTTCTTACAACAGCACCATAAGAATTCATGTAGAAAGGAACATCCTTTTGAACGGATGAAGTTAAAAATATTTAGTACAACTGAAAATTTCAAAATGTTAACCTGTTGTTCTGACATTTCATTATATCACTAAAGTTTGGGTACCCAGCAGACTCTCAATTATCCAAACTAACAGAATTGGAGAAAACATAATTATATAAATGAAAAGAACTAAAAAATACATTACATCAACACAACCACACACATAGACAACATTTCCTCAGCCACACATTGGAAATAACTTCCTGATTTCTTAGTCTTCCTGCCCCTCCACTTTCACTTCCAAACACCACTTGCCCAAATTAATCCAGCACCATGCTAAGACAATGTGGAGAGCTCTGTGTGGCTAACCTGCTCCCATTTTGCATCATTTATTCCCCTAGTTTCACAGCTTCCACACTCTTCATATCCTGGCTGCTCTGAAAAGATGGGGTTTCAGAAGATGTCTTCCAGCTGAACTGTGAAAGCACAGAATCACCTAACTTTTGTAGGCTGAGTTTGCCATGCTCTTTTGTTTAGAAGATTCGTCACTGCTACCCAACTTTGACGGAACATTAATCACATTAGTTATATCTTCCTTATGTTGCAAAAAGTTTGTAAACATATGCTGTAATCTCTGATAATTTAGACTCTTTTTAATTTCAGGTATACTGTTCAGAAAATGTGTTGCCACTTCGCTGACTGAAAACCTTCAATTAAAAACCAAAACCAGTGTTTGAAACAGAGTTCCACTCACTGGTAATGTTACAGTAAAAAAACACAATGTATCTTCTGTATAATAGATGCTGCAAAGCTTAAAATTAGGTGATGGATAAGGCCCTAGAAGAATAGGTTCATAAGCAGCTAAATTCATCCATGCATTTCACAAAGATAAATTACTGATCATATTCTTTTATACTTTATGCTTCTTTTTCAAGACAATATAAAGTAGCATTTCCACATGATGCTTTATTGGGACACAGATTTCAACATTAAACCGAGAAAAGCTTTAAATGGAGTGAATTCAGCCATAACGCTATAGAACTAGTACTGCAGAAATTGTATGTTATGTGACGGTAAATTGTAAATTGAGAAACATTAACTAGGGAATGCACTAAATTACTGAAGAATGGATTTAAACAGAATGAAATAAAAGAATTACATGGTTAAAAACATAACAATCAAAAAATGTAATATAGATATAAATTTAGCATTTTTCTCCCATGGATAATTGAGAGTTCACCATAGAAATCACCAGCAATTCCCAATTTTTGAAGTATGCCATAACCAGATCAAACCTATTAGCATTTTAGTAAGCACAATGTTTCTGCAGAACACTGGTTATCAAATTAGAGTTTAAATCATAACACAAATATAAAAATCAAAACAATTGAAAGGATGTAAATTACAATATATATGGGGAATATGTTACTTTCTTTTACATGCTGTAATGTCTGGTCAAATTCATGCAACCATTTACATGTCCATGATCCATTTTGTTTGAAAGAATTGAAATAACAATGTATATGAACATGGTACCTTTTGTTCACATGCTGTAATGTTTGTATAAATTCATGCAACCTGTCCACTATGTTTTTACAAAATTACAATATATAGGGGGAATATGTTACTTTCTTTCACATGCAGTAATGTTGGTACAAATTCATGGGACCAATTACCTGTCCACGATCCTTTTTACGTTGTTTTTCTGAAGGAAGTAACATGCTGGTACTTAAGGTATCACACTGATCTAGCTCCACAGCACAACCCAACTACGAAAATGGATTGAAAATACATATGAAGTACAAATCCTAATGAGCACAAACATGTTGCTCTGTACGTTAAATGTGATCCATATACTACTGCTAATCATCTAAAGATTTTAATACCATACATATTTAAACTGCGAATAAAAGGTGAAGCAAAATCAATTTACTATGTACTTGCAAAGAGAGAAACTGTACAGAAAATTCAGACCACATCCTCTACTCTGTTTTAGGAAGGATCTCAAACTGGTTGACGTTTACAGATACTGCAGGAATCAGATGTAGTAAAAAGCTTATAGTGTCACCGCTGTGGGTGTTCACTTATGTAATTATTCTATGCTTATCTGACAATCTTTCAATTGCCCAGATAAACGAAAGAATGCTGGAGAGGTAGTAATTGTGGCCTAATTTAAGGAGCTATCACCAGCATTTGCCCGGAGGAATGAAGGAAAACCGCAAAAAGCCTCAGTCAGGTTAGTGGGCCTGCAGGCTAAGGTTTGAACTGGAAATGTTCCCACAGATTAATCAGGCAGTGATTTATATGCCCAGTTCTATGTGTAAAATCGAAAGTTATGAAAACTTCTCTTACTAATTCCAGTTTGAAAGTTCAAAAACTGGCAAAAATTATGCTAGAGGATAAAACAGTTAAAGTTTTAAAAATGCATTAATTATTAGAAGAAATATAGTTTCTTAAAATTATTTCTATTCTTTTTCAAAATAGTGACCCTTCAATATGGGGCACATGGTTCCATAGTTGGTTGAGGCACTATGCTACAAGACAGAAGGTCGCGGGTTTGATTCCCCAATGAGGCCATTGCATTCAATTGACCTAATCCTTCCAGCCACACTATGGCCCTGGGGTTGACTCAGCTTCTAACAGAAATGAGGACCAGGAATCTTCCTGGAGGTAAAGTACGGTGGGCCAGTGCATAAGGCTGACAACCTCACTACCATCTGTGAGCTGATTGTCTAGAAAATGTGGGAGCCTAAAAGTCTCACAATCCTATGGGCTTCCACAGCCTGTTACAAGGATAGCTTTACCTTTTTGTTCCTTCAATACCACACTCTCCAGAAACACAGATATCTTATCTGCCCCTTTGTAACACACCTTAAGATCTTCATCTCTGTATTCTCGTGGATCATGAAACTGGGTCTCTGCTGGATACGATGATTTCAGATGTGGAGGACACAATGAGTTACGATATTGTAACTCACTTACACGCCCCTTGTAACCTTGAGGTACACAACGCCCAGCTTTCAGATCCGCCAAATTTGTGGTGTTAAAAACTTCACCTTCTTCATCTTCAGGGTCAAACATAGCACCTACAAATACAGTCACATTGACACGACTTAAAATCACTGAAGTTGCTACTGAAGAAAGGTTGTAGAAATTCTCAACTAATAATAAGATTAAAACCTACATGCAGTACTTTCCAAATTACATGAATCTTAGAGATAAAAAAGAATTAGGTACACTTTAAATATAGTATACCTTGGGATACTGTTTTCAGGTTTGAATTTTTCTGTTATCCTAAGGGGTTCACAATGTAGTATTTACTGTGCAAAAAGTGTTGGCTGTTGCCAGGTATACTATATATATTCAAGTATGTTGGCACAACTGTAAAGAGACTGTGCCATTTATAGTGCACAACTTCAGTAAGACACTGCTTTACTTAGACTTACACATTATGCTGGCAAAGTGAAGGATTTTCATAGTATATACACACCCATGCCTGAAGGCAGAGATCTAGGCACACTCTTTTTCCTTCTAACATATGTAATAGACTCATCTATTACATCCATTGTATGCATCTCTCTGGAGGACCCAACAATTTTTCTTCCCTTTTCTATATTGCTGAAATAAAATTCACATTTAATTTCCACATTTATGTACATCCAATTTGTCAAAGTTTTTCAGAACCATGATTCTACCTGTTGTCATGTATGAGTGTGGAACATGGGTCTCACCCTGAAGAGAGAACCTAGACTGGGGATGTCTCAAGACAGGGATTTTGGGAGAACATTTGGACCTAACAGGTAGTAAGAGCAGACAAATTCCATTGGTAAATGAATCTTTTTTTTTTTTTTCAAAAATTTTGAATGAGAGAGCCTTGAAACTATGAATTTTAATTTCTGTCATTAAAATCCTTTTCTGCAGAACCAAACGGATTAATGAAAAACAGTTTGAAAATGACTAATGTACAGAAATAGAGACTATCAAGAAAATCAGACAACACCACCTAGATCAAACAGGAATTTGTTTTAAGCTGAATATTCTCTATGTACCAGGAACCAGATATCAAAAGTAATCACTTGCTATTAGGCATTAAAAATCAGAACAGAAAATTACACAATATATGGATTTAACTTTCAGATACATTTTCCTGAAATATGTGTCACACTTACTTCTGTGATGTTCTACTTCACATTTCATTCATACCAATGCTGTACAAAATTCTGAAATTTCTGGACTACTGTATATATGGATACAATGGAAATAATTCAATTAACTTATTAAAGTATAATGCAAATAAGCAATACAGGCAGCAGGAGGAAGAACAGTAACAACAAAAATTAATCCATTTTATTAATGATAATGTATCGGTATGGTGAAGAATTACCACTGCCATACACACACACACACACACACACTCTAAAAGATTTCACTGTGTAATTATAGTGCTATGGCATGTTAACCAAAGAATGGTTAATGAAGATTTTGTACAGTATACAAAAGGACAAGAAATCAGAAACAAGATACAATTACTGTGAAATGTGTTTATTATATTAAAAGTTATTATCCTGAGGGGTTCAGATGCACAGAAGGGTTCCTGGTTTGCAATGAACTGTACATGTAAATTATAAATTTTTATTTCTTCAAACAGAAGGAAATCTATCACATTAGTCTGACAAAACAAGGGAGATCTGTTAGAAAATGTAATTGTATACTAGCCACAGAATTAGCGTTTCATCAAAAATGCAGTGGGTGACATGGATTATTTTGTAATGCTACTGCCCTAAGACTTTACCAAGAAGTTGTAGAGGTCATACAATGACTAACAAATATAAACCTCACCACTGGATAACAGCAAATATAAAAGAAGCTACAACACTGATATTGCCAAATAGGAATAATTATTTACCTTGATATTTCACGACTTTCTAAGAAATCATCCTGCAACAAGAGAGTACAACACATCAAGAAAATTCCAAGTAGATCTCAGAAGAGGAATAAACACTCAGACATCTTGTTATCAACTGGCTACAATATCAGCAAAAAGGGAAGCTTGAAGATTAATGACAACTTGCAAAAGGTTGGGTCTGATATAAGATCAATGAAGTGTCAACATGCCAAACTGAAACTCTAGAACAGTGCTGTCCAACGTTCTTATGTACTCCGGCACAATTCACTGATGCCTATGGAGGTGCGGGCGCCACCACACACTACTACTACTACTACTACTACTACTATTACTACTACTACTACTACTAATAATAATAATAAACAATAAAAAAAGTTTCGAAAATATTTAACAGTACTCAGACGTTCAAAAATGTCTCTTGTCTTACAATTTGGATTAATATTAAAAATCGGCTCAATTATATGTGGTTACGGAGGGCGCCAGAAAAATATCCCATGGGCGCCACATTAGACAGGGCTGCTCTAGAAGTATAAACTCTTAAAAGTGTACCTAATCATAGACTGATCCACTATTCAAGAATTATTAGAAGTAGGAAGAATCTGTGATTCATTTACTATTTGTGGGAAAAAGCGACTGTTAAAAGAGTTTAATCAAAACTACAGCCACACGTATCTAGAAAGTTATACAATCGTCTCACAGAATAAATTAATCTGATAGTTTAAGAATATCAGTAATTTTACACTGCACAGAGTAAACAGGAACTGTGGCCGTGCCATAGCTCAAGCAGTGGCCTGGGTTCAAGACCGGGTCTGGTCAAGTGGTATTTGTGGCAGACAAAGTGGCGCTGGGGCAGGTCTTCTCTGAGTACTTCGGTTTCCCCTGCCAATCTTCATTCCAATTGCTCTACAATCACCCTCACCTATCATCTAGGATNCCCTTCTTCCCTTTCAAGAAATATTTTAACATTTTTTTTAACATAATCTTTAATCTCCTTACCTGTTCGAAAGCTTCACCTATGTAGGCGTTTTGTATGCTTGTTTCCTGTTCTTTCGATTCTGTTGAACAGAGCTCCCCCCCCACCCCCCTTGTGAATTTTAAACAGGAACTGTCATTTGAAATATCCCTCTTAGAAGAATCAGTAAGACAAGTTGTTTCTCAATGCCATGTGGCCACGAAGAGAACAACAAGTGCCAAAACTGAGACTGATTGCAGTTGTGGAGCAGGCACGAATTGGCTCCCCAGTTCTCATGTATACTGAGCATGAGGACAACATAACTGAATTCACAAAGAGTAAAGTGCTTACATTCATGTTACAAGATATGGGCAAAGACAAATTAGAACAGTTTCATATTAGTGTTTTTGTGCTATGGGAGATCATTGTGCTGTTTTATCATCAGTAATGTCAACCCGTACATATTCTTCTGTGAATGAATCTACAGACATATGTCTCACACTTCTGCTGCAAGGTGTACAAACACAATATTCTTGGAAGGGTAGGATAAGTGATCATACCTCCAAATTTAAAATATGTGAATGTTTCTATCTAGTCTTCATTGATTAATGCATAATAAATTTGTGAGAATGTCATATTAGTTACTGCTACACCTTACTGCAAAAAAATGTATGCATGATACTAACCAAATCCTACATCCTCTACTAAATATTTAACTGCTACTTTTATAACCTGTTTTCCAATACAGCGCAAGAGTATCTGTTGTTTTGATAATTCCTCTTCCAGCCTCTTCTTTTCTCTCTCTGACATCAGCAGCTTATCTCCAATTTCCCACATCTGTGACTTCATGATGCCTACATCATTTTCATAACTTGCAATCTGAAATTAATTAGATGAACACCCACTGAAAAACAAATAAATGAGAAGACACTACCGTAGCCAAGAATTGAAAATACAGAACATTCCTAAACATAATGTCAGATTAGTTCTTTGAATACAGTCATGGAAGCTGAGAAGAGAAGCTTCATAGTCATGCATGATATAAAATCCTGTTTTCATGCAGAACATGTTTGTGACAAAGAAAAAAAAACCAAGTCAGAAGGGTAAAACGTAATTGGACTGAATATTTTCGATTTCAAAGTGTCTGCCCAAATGTGCTCTCAAACTAATTGTGTTAATTCTTTTAATTAACCCTAAAGTATAGATATAGATTTAGACAACTTTCTAACACTGACAGTATGGTTCAGTCAGGACTGAGAGATCTGAATAGGGTAAAACATGAATACACAATTTTTATACAGAAATCTATTGAAGACATGTTGGGAGAATGGCTATGATAGTAGTGGTCTTGAAACCTGCAGTTCTATCATCAAACAGTTAGTGCATATAAGACAAATAAATGCCCATCAGTGAGTAAAACATGAGATGTTCATTTTTGTTATTTATTTTATGATGCTATCAGTATCTAGACTATATAGCATTGAATGGTAGGGTGATCAATGGAACTAAAAGGATATGAAAGAAAGCAGCCATGGATTAATAGTGGTAATATCACAGTAATCTTCCTGGAGTGACTGAGGAAAACCAAATAAAATCTCAGTCAGGATTTGAACTGAGCACCTCCCAAACAGAAGTCTAGAGCATTATCACTACAATGACCTGCTAGGTTCTTTAGATGTTACCAAGGATGGCAGTACAGAGAACACCATGAGAAGCAATCAAGGAGGAACTGCAAGCTAAGTCCATATAACAGCACAGAAAGATAGTGTCAAAGTAAAGGTAAACTCGTGATTTAAAATATATTTACATTACCTTCTCTTTGTACAGTCTACACACTGCTTGCAGATGTTCATTCTCTTGCTTTGACGTTTGTGTTTTCTTTTGAATTTCCTCTTCGTACAGGACTTTCTAAAGAAATGAATAAATAACTATATTAAAATATTATATTTAAGCATCCTGTTGCACTCCATACGATAAATGATATAATGATACAAATTCCATCCCAAGTGCAAACAATATATTATGTGTCCTTGATCTTGTTCCGCTACACTACATGTTTTGGCCTCAGACGGCCATCATCAGGTGTATAACACTCACGTTGCTGTCACATTGCACTCAGCCCAAAATTTAACATTTAAAACACTTTCCTTGTTATTATCAACATCTACTTCATTGATATCTGTCTGGTTTGTAGATTATTTTACACACGTTAATTTTGACGTACCTGTAGTAGCACTATAAAATCTTTAGTTCAAATTTTAAAATCCTTTAAAATTTTTCTCTAAATTTTAAATTTAAAATTGTTAGGGTTACTTGCCCTATGTCAAAAGTGCTGCAGTGGCTAGTTCTTGTTTCCACACTGTATATGTGTTATCCTGTGTAGTCTTCCTGTGTGCATGTGTAGTACACACGTAGTAAAGAATAACAGCGGCACGCACACAGGAAGACTACACAGGATAACACCTATACAGTGTGGAAACAAGAACTAGCCGCTGCAGCACTTTAGACATAGGGCGAGTAACCCTAACAATTTTAAATTTTAAAATGTAGAGAAAAATTTTAAAGGATTTTAAAATTAGAACTAAAGATTTTATAGTGCTACTACAGGTACGTCAAAATTAACGTGTGTAAAATAATCTACAAACCAGACAGATATCAACGAAGTAGATGTTGATAATAACAAGGAAAGTGTTTTAAATGTTAAATTTTGGGCTGAGTGCAGTGTGACAGCAACGTGAGTGTTATACACCTGATGATGGCCATCTGAGGCCGAAACATGTAGTGTAGCGGAACAAGATAAAGGACACATAATATATTGTTTGCACTTGGGACGGAATTTGTATCATTATATCATTTAACTATATTAAAAACAATGGTACAAATCCAGTGCTGTACTGTACACAGTAAAACCAGATAATAATTTGAAACTTAATAAATAAATAAATAGAAGACAATTTGATAAGGGGGAAGAAGAAAAAACTTGAATTATATAGAAATATGGATACCTTCCATTTATTCATAGTGACATGACAGCATGTCCTAGTCAATATGTGTTAACAGAAATAAAAAAGAATTCAGTAAAAATAGAGAAGAGATGAAGATATCCCTCCATTGCTGTTTTAATAAACACATCCCTGTTTCTCACTTATGCAATGTGCAATACTAACCATTTTGGCTTTTAGTCTATCCAATTTCTTTTCATACTCCTGTCGAATGGCTTTAAATTTTTCATCCATTTTAGTTTTCATATCATCATTATCAGACTGAAGCTTGTAGTTGACTTCCAACAATGCTTCATATGCTTGTTTGATATCAGAATTTTTCTGTAATTCTAACTGCAGCTGCAAACACTTTTCTTCCTCCACTGCTTTCAATTTACACACAACCTCTTTATCATTAGAAAGAGCTGTATGCAAACTTCTTAGTTCATTGAAATTTTTCTCCATTTCTGCTCTTGAATTTTGTTCTTCCTGAAGCATATCCTGAAGAGATTTGTTCTGTTTGTTCAAGTGTTCAACTTCTTTGGTTTTCTGGTCAAGATTTTGTTCTAGAATCAGTCTCATTTTAAGCATAGCACAGTGCTGAGAAGACCGTTTCTTGTCGTGCTCTTTCTGAACTTCCTCCTCAGTTGTCAACATAACGCCTTTGGCCCCAGAATCTATTTCAAGTAAGTCTTCAGGATTCCGGCCATCTTCAACCATTTCTAATTCTGCCTGGTTCTTCTGTGATCCATGCAGCTTTGTTAGTATATCCTTTATGCGATTTGTTCTATCTACAAAACTGAGACCTCCCACATTTCCAAAAGCACCTCTGTCATAGAGGATATGCTCATTTCCAGTCTTTGTGTTACATGTTTTCATAATTTGCTCACACTGAGCATCTACAGATGTACATTTCTTCATGGCGATCTTTATTCCAGAAATCAAAGTGCTAATTTGTGTCTGAAGGTCATGAAGTTCTTGATGCTGCCAAGTTTTCTTTTTTTCTGTTACAGTATCTCCAATGACATCAGATTCACTTCTTCTGTTCAAATTCAAAAGTGTTTCTGCTGGTTCTTCAGTTCTCAAGGGAACAGAAATGCCCAACAAGAAACACTGGTTTTCTATACTCTGTTCTGTCTGTATAAGCATGTCATACGTACAGTTAAGAATGTTGTGCGATATATCGTCACACTCATCATTCATAAGCATTAAAAGTTCCTCCAACTCAGTTCTCTGGCAATCAATAACTCTGAGTTCACTGCCACCAATTGCAGTACTTACAACCAAGTTTTCAAATTTATAATTTATATCTTTCAAGCTTCTCTGAAACTCTGACATATTTTGCTTCAAGGTCGTTTCAGAATTGAGAATTTTATTCAATTCTAACTCAATTTCTTCTCTTATTCTTACTAGTTTCTGACATTCTTCCTCATATTTCTGGTGTGACATCTCATATTTCTGTAACTTTTCATTTAGTTCAGAATTCTGTTTAAGTAAATTTGACATCTGATCATTCATGGCATTCATAGTTACATTGAGGGACTCATTGCCTTTGTTCAGTTTCAGAAAATCATCTTTCAGTGCTCCATATGCCTCCTCAAGAGCATCCTTTTCAGCCTTGAGCTCAACCTTTGAACTGTGTTCAATGGTCAAGGTCCTTTCATTTATTTCCAATAAGGATTTCAGATTTCCCAGCTCCTCAATATTTTTCAACAGTTTCTCATTTTCAGAATTTAAAATTCCAATTGTACATGTTAAATCTGCATATTTCTGTGCTACATCATTGTATCTATTTTCAATAACTGACAGTTCGTTTTTGAGGTTATTGTTTGATTTAAGGATTCCCATAATTTCTCCTCTAGCAGAAATAAATTCAGCATTTAGATCTTTTAGCTTGTTAACTACTTCAGAGAAATCTGCATAAACGTCCTCCTCATGATTTATCTGCAGCTCTGACTCTTTGATCTCCATGGCTGTTGATTTAGCTTCTGGGGGAAATGCCTGTACCTCCATGCATATATTCTGATTGTTCAGTAACTCAGATGAATATTCTAAAAATGTGCTTTCATTTGCAGTTTCATTCCCATTGGAAGTCAGCTTATCAGTGCATCCTTTAACAAGATCTAAGTTCCATGGCTTTGCAGACAAGTTCTTTCTGGACTCACATACTACATGCAAGGGATCTGTTTCACAGCCTTCACTCTCTTCTTTCATGCCATCCAAATGTTCAGACGTACTAATTACTACTTTCTGTATGTCACATTTCTGACCTTCTTCCTTTCCATTTATGTTCTGATCTTGGTAAGCTGCAACAGCCATGCAAAGACTAGAGACATTATCCTTGATATCACTGCATAACTGAGACACTGTCCTTTTTTCAGACATCAACTGATTCATCTGTGTTAATATCAATTCTACATTTTCCTTTTCTTCATTCAAAAGCTGTTCCATCTTAGCATGTGACTTCCTTTCCATGTCTCTTTCATCTTCAACTTCCTTTACTTTTTTCAATAGAACTGTCTTCACTTCAACAGCATTTCTATGAGCAATCATGATGTTTTCTTCAGTCTTCTGTATTTGTTTTGTGTGAACTTGCAAAAGTTCATCTTGATTTCTTTTAATTTCCAATAATTCAGATTTGGTCAATTGCAAATTCTTATTTAATATGTCCCTTTCTTCAGTTGTCTGGTCTAGTATGTTTTGTATAGCAGCTTTGTCTGTCAAAAGCTTATCAATTTTCTGTTCTCTTTCTTGCAGTTCTTTGGAATGTTGTTCCAAAAGTGATGCCTTACTTTCTTGTAATGCCAGCATAGACGCTCTAACACTTTCCTGTTCTTCAATAATACTGTTCATTTCATGAAGCAAATCATCAATTTTCTTATCTAGTGATATTTTTGTAAGTTCTAGTGCTTCATTTTCAACTTTTACCTCATTACACAATTGTATTAGGTGTTCTTTGCATGTTTTTAATTCAGTGACTTCTAACTTTGCTTCATGGCACTGAGTATGTAAATCCTTCCTCTCACCTTGCAGAGAATTAATCTCATCTTGTAACACATTGATTTTCTCCATTAACTGCATTATAGTCTCTTCTTTTTCTTCAATTTCCTTATTATGATGAACAATAAGTTTTTCTTGCTGCTCTTTGTATAAAAGTAGAGAAGACCTGGCAGCACATAGCTCATTATTGATGGAAAACATTTCTTTTTCTAAATTATCAACTTTCATTTCTAATTCCATTCTTATAGCAAGAATGTTCTCTCTTTCTGTTTCCAAAGTGTTATATTGCTGCATAAGTTGATCTTTACTAGTTTCAACAGCCATGAGCTCAGATGTTAAATGCTGTACAGTACTCTGCAGCTGATTTCTTTCTTCTTCTAAGATCCTGACCACACCACGCAATTTGTCCAAATCTTGTACCACAGAAATCAGATTACTGTTCTTGTCAGTAAGCTCTTCAGATAACAATTCTTTACAATGCTTTTCTTTTGAAAGTTCAGATCTAGCAGTGTCGAGTTCTTCAGAAACTACCTTCTTTTCTCTTGCTAGGTCTTCGATCCTTTCCATTGAGATCTTCAGCTGTTCAAGTTGTTTTCCATTTGTAGTTTCCAGGCGTTTCATCTCTTCTAACAAAGTCTCATAACTTCTTTTAATGTCACTCCATTCATTCGTTTTACATTGGAGTTCATTCTGTGCAGCCATTTTACCTTGTTCAATTGCTTCAATTTCACTTGCTAAGGAGGTTAGTTTATCTGACAGATTTGCAAATTCTATTTTATATTCTTCATTTTGCTTCTCATATAACATTTTTATTTCATCTCTATCTAGAGTCACTTCAAGTAATTTAGTTTTTTCAATTTCTAATGTATTATTAATGGCCTCTTTTTCATGTTGCAATCTCATTACTTCATTTTCCACTGTAGTTTGCAAACTGCTTATGTATACTTCCTTCTCCAAAACACTTTCATTCAATTTCTGAATTTGGACATTATTTCCAATTACTGTTTCTGAAAATTTTAATTTTACACATTCCAGTTCTCCAAAAATGACCTTCTTCTCTTCCTCAAGTTTTGCAGTAGTTATCTCTAAATTTTTCATGTGCTGGTTGAGTAACTCAATTTGTTCAGCCTTCTCCTGACTTTCTGTGTCATACTGCAATTTCAGAGTGTCTCTGTTCTTGATCATTTCTGCAAGTTTCCTTTTCAGGGATTCAAGTTCTTCATCTGTCAATGTAGCTCTGTCCTCTAATTCATTAAATTTGTCTTTCAATCTATTAAGAAGACAATTTAATTTCTCAGTGGGTTCATTTTCTTGCACTTCATAACCATAGATTTGTTCAAAACTGTCTTTACTTGCTTGAAATTCTTGTAGTTTACAAATTATATTCTGTAGGTTATTGTTACAGCAATCCCTTTCCCGCACCATGCCTTGAATTTCAGTCTCAAATTTGGCAACCTTACAATTTAGCATGTTCACAGTCTTAGTTTGTTCTTCAGCAAATTCTTTTGTTTTCTGATACAGACCTTGTAACAGAAGCTTATCATGCATAATTTCTGACAGTTCAGTTTCAATTTTTTGTAGCTTTTCTGCCTTTTCTTTGTTTAGTTTTTCAAGTTTTTCACTTTTATCAGAGAGGCTCTGTTTTATCCTCTCAAGTTGCTCAACTGCAGCCCTTTTATCCTCTAACAGAGAGTTCAAATCCTCAATCTTAAGAGAATATTCTGAAACCTTTGTTTGCAAAACTGAAATATTTTCATCGGCCCGTTGCAGACATTCCTTCAGCACGCTCCTTTCTTGAAGATGATTTCTTTCCTTGTCTTCTAGCTCAGAAATTTCCTCACGAAGTTTTATAATACTGTCATTCAATTGCTTACAAGCTGACTCCAAATTAGACTTCTCATAAAGTGACTTGAGATTCTTAGCATCCAGTTCAGCGAGTAATAAATTTAATCTTCTGACTTTAGCTTTCACATCAACACTCAAAGTTGATAAAAATCCTTCTGTTCCATCTCCTTTCAACTGGTCAGCATCTTCTGGAGTATAATCACCTGATACCAGAATTCCTTCAACCAGTTTCACATTTTCTTCTAGCTGCTGTGCTATACAATCCAGATTCCCTTGTATTTCTACATTCTCCAATTTTATGGCTGCAACTTCTTCAGATGTACATTTCAATTGTTTCTGGGTTTCACGGGTTTCACATTCTAACATAGTCACAAGTTCCATCTTTGCAGTTAGAACCTTCTGAGTTTCCAGAAATTGGTCCTGAAGCTTAGCAAGATCTGAAGTAAGTGATGTAGCCGCTTCATGCAAATCTGAAAGTTCCTTATCTCTGCAAGCAAGGAGGTCCTGCAAGTCAGCAAGTTCTTTTTCATGCAGAATATGCTCTTGAGAAAGGTGATCAAGCTCAACAGAAGTAGAATTCAGTTTCCTTTCAGATTCCTCCAGTTCATGCTGTAAATCTGCTATTTTACTGACCTGAACAAACAAAAAGATCCATTATCTACAATTAAAACTGAAGTAAATATAATCAGGGTTAAAGTGACCAGGGTGAAGATGAAGCCGGGTTATATAACCACAGTGACATAACATTCCTTGTCATCCTCTATATAACCTGACCACATTGTTATTCTAATCGCTTCAAACCTGAAGACAGGGGTAGCATATTCCTCCGAAACATTACTACTCATCTCCAACACCACATGGTGACACAAAGTAGAAGACCACACTCTTAAAACGCTTTCACCATTTCATTATATCTGAAGGTAACTACTCCTACTTTTTCAGTGTTATGAACTTGCACAAAAATATACAAAAAAGAGACACTTGTATTCTAAATTAAACTTACCATAGAGAGGGTCAAACTGCATGGACAAAGTCAAACGACAAAGAGCGGAATTAACAAGCTAGGGAAAGATATGTGCTGCTGTGTACCAAAATGAACGTTTTATTCTAGTTTTTATTATGATATAAAGCATCAAGGAAAAAAAGGTTTTATTATTAATAATAACGCCTTTCACTGTCAAGAAAGTATTGCTAGAGGCACAAACCTTTCTTTCCAATTCAAAATTTGACATCTTTAGAGATTCTGCTTCTTGATTTGCAGCTTCTAAAGAAAGTTCAAGGTCATGGATGTGCTTTGTCATCTTTTCTCCTTTCATGATCATTCTCTTAAGTTGTTCTGAGATTGCTTTATTTTCTTCTTCTTTTTCACGTAGCTGCAGGTCTACTACTGCCTGACCTAGATTTTCTGGGCTCTTGCATACTGAAATCAATTAATGATGGCAATGATAATAAAAGAAGAAAATCACCTCAGAATGTAATATGAATAGTGAAATAAGTGGGTCATTTCATAAATAATGCACAGGTTGGTAACACTGCGGATTAGATGACACAATAACAGTGAGCCTCATGTCAGTTACAGTTCAGGGCTTGAGAAAGAAGCGCATTATTTTGTTTCATTTATAATGTACTCTGTTCTTAAATAACGTGAGTTAGAAATGGAGCCTGCATGGTTCTCGGGTATTGTGACTGTTGAAGATCAAAGGTCGTACAATAAGATCAAAACTTTACGTGGGAAAAACCCGACAGAAATCCACAGCTGAAATCACCGGAGGTAAAATCACAGTCCAATGAGTGGACAGGTCCATCTTCCCAACTACCAAAAAAATTTTGACGATCTCAAAGGTCAAACAAATGATGATCTTTGCTTATGATCACCAAGGAATCATCATGACGGACAGAGTTCCATGTGGGAAAAGTGTCACAGCAGTTTATTATCGTGACTTCATGCAAAATCTGCGCAGAAAAATGCACAAAAACCGACCTCAGTTGCTAGAGGCTGGGCCGATCATTCTCCATGAAAATGCTCGCCCGCACATCAGGAATGTCATAACAGAAAAGCTGTGCCAATACGGTTGGGAGGTGTTGCCTCATGCTCCCTACAGCCCAGACATGAGTCCAGCAGACTTTGACTTATTCCCAAAGTTGAAACAACCTATGCAAGGCCATCGTTTTCCCTTTCTGGAAGAGCTTTCTGCTGCAGTACCCGAGCCTTCGACAGATAAACAAAGATGGTGTCCTGGAAGGAATTGTAAAGCTTCCCACATGTTGGGACTCAGTCATTGAGAAGCAGGGGGACTATATTGAAGGACTGTAAAGAGATATTTGAAAAAGAAATAAATAAACATGTATGTAAACAAAAAAATTGTGTGCATTATTTCTGAAATGACCTACGTAGAAACTTTCACAACGGCTTAATGTTTAAATATTCAGTATTTTTGGTTCTAGTCACAGCTCTAACAAACATGTTCATTAACATGTGAGGTTGTAAAAAACGTGTTAAGTTAATGAAATTTAATATTATGTGCTTTTTCTGTTCTTGGTAAGATTCTGACATTACTGCCAGCAAAGAGCAAATGGTGGTTAAAGGAGGAACCACTGCATATATGCAAATAAAGAAACACAAAACAAAACCACCTAAATCTGCCTGGGTTGTCCCACAGGCCCCTTCCATTAAATTTTAATTACAATGCTCCTCTCAGTACAACTGTGCTTTCCATTCATTTTGCATGGCCAAACATTTATTCAATTCAATTCAATTCAATTTATTTTGTTCATCAGATCTACATTTGGCGATGGCGCCACCAGATATAGAACACGTCAAAGGCCTAGTTACAATAAAATTAATCCAGAGGACAAGATCATTAAGATATTACAACATATCCACAACCATTGTTGCAATAACTGATGATACAATGCTATAACTAAACACAGCATGCATATAACACTCGGACTGCAACTTATTATCATAACAAAATACATATCAACATTGTCAATAACAGAGCAAAATCATATCCAAAGAGTTATGGGCATCTTACAATAAAAGTTTAAAAATGACTAGTGTAGTTTTATTTATCTGTAATTAGCACAATCATCCCTTGTTTTCCATTCATAATACTCACCTAATGAANACAACCAACAGATATAGAAATCGTCCAGTAGTATGAACTCATCTTGCTTATAAATCAAGCAGTTGTCAATATGTTTGCAATATAAAACAAGTTTAAAAGTTTACACAGTAATCAATATGCAATATAAAATAATGGTGATAAGTAATATGGATAATAATATTGACAACTAATCAGATAAGAAGTATTATTACAGATAAAATGAAGTTACAGTTACACAACCAACAGATATAGAAATCGTCCAGTAGTATGAACTCATCTTGCTTATAAATCAAGCAGTTGTCAATATGCTTGTAATATAAATCAAATTAAAAAGTTAAATATATAAATTACCCTTTGCATAATGTTTCCATTGTCATCTATTAAAATATTCGTCCAATGTATAAAAGGAGTTCACAAATAAAAACTCTTAAACTGGCTTTAAACTTGAAGAAAGTCATCTTCTGGGTTTAGGCACCGTGTATTCTTCGTTTCAGCCCACGTTTCGGAGGAACGTAGCGCCTCCATCTTCAGAGCAGTTGAATGGCTTGGAATGCGGAGAGCAGTAGCTGTAGTGATAGGATGTGAATGTCGCTGCTTATATATGAAGTAGGCAGGGGGTGGTTGGTTAGGGAGAACGGACCAATGGGAGCAGTGGGGAGTGATTAAGACCATATATGGTGTTGTGTTGACTAAGGGTGGGGGGAACGGCCAGTGGATCCAGGAACCTTGAGGTCAATAGCACTAGGAAGTGCAGTAGACAAGAAGACGACTTACTTCATTGTCATCGCCGTGAAAACCTCAAAACTTACATGGCTTTAAACTTATTTGCATTATTTGAGATTATTTTGATTGTATTTGGACGTCCATTATAAATCCTTGCAGCCATGTGATAAACCCCATTCCTATATTTTGCCAAATTGACCTGGTACATATGTATATTCATATTTTGTCTAGTATCTTTTTCATAGCAATCCTTATTTATATTGAATATTTCTTTATTATTTATTACAAACATAATTAATGAGTATATGTACTGTGATCTTAGGGGCAGTATGTTCATATCCCTAAAATGTTCTCTACATGACTCTCTAAGATCACAGCCTTTGATCAATCTTATGGCTCTCTTTTGCAATTTGAAAACCCTTTCGGCATGCGACGAGTTTCCCCAGAATATCAGGCCATACGTCATAACCGAATGGAAATATGAGTAGTAGATACTTTTTAATATTTTCATAGATACTACTGGTTTTATATTTCTGATCATGTAGCAGGCTGTAGTCAATTTCTTTGTTACCTCATCAATATGTCTTTCCCAGGTCATGGCGTTTTCAATGGTCAGTCCAAGAAATTTAGTATGATTTGTGTTTGTAATAATTGTTACTAAATCTCCTATATCCCTTTGTACCTGGTTTTTTGCAGTAAAGTTTATATAATATGTTTTCATTGTATTTAAAGACATTAAGTTTTTTTTGAACCAGTCATCTAGTAAACTGTATACTTCGTTTATTGTATTTCTAAACATAATTGGATTTGCATGTGAGATTAACACACTGGCATCATCTGCAAATAAAATAGGTGTACTTTTTGCCTCCAATATCTTGGGCAAATCATTTATATATATTATAAACAGAAGAGGTCCCAGTATTGACCCCTGTGGAACACCATTAGTTACTTTAGCCCATCCTGAATATACTTTTTTATTGTTAGTTCCATTATAAATGGTAGTTCTCTGAAATCTATCCTGTAGGTATGATTTGTATAGGTTGTATTGTTTATCCTTTATTCCATAATACTTTAATTTATTAAGTAATACTGTATGACTAACACAGTCAAAAGCCTTTTCCAGGTCACAAAATATCCCACTGACTAGCATTTTATTATTTAGTGAATTTAATATTCCAGAAATAAGTCTAAAAATAGCATTTTCAGTCCCCTGTTTTTCTCTAAATCCAAACTGATGGTTACTTAATATGCTGTTGTCATTTAAATGTTTTAATAAACTACTATACATTACCTTCTCAAATATTTTACTTATAGATGTCAAGATGGAAATAGGTCTGTAGTTAGATACCCTGTTTTTATCACCTTTTTTATATACTGGCAACACTGTAGCATATTTTAATCTATCAGGAAATACTCCTTCAAACAATATCCTGTTACATAAGTAACTTAAAGGAACACTAATAAAGGTTTTACAAGCTTTCAGTATATTGTTTGAAATTTCATCATATCCTTGAGCTTGGCTTGCTTTGAGGGACCCTATTACCTTTTCTATTTCTTTATAAGTAGTTTTTTTGATTTGTATATTTGGGAATGGACTCTCGAAAGCCATTGACATATAAGTCATATAGTTATTAGATTTTGTTTTGGGATTGGGATTTATACAGTTATTCTTAATGTGTTTGTGAATGGTATCCGCTACTCCACTAAAATACTTGTTGAAATCTTCAACTACAGTGTTCAAATTCATGTCATTTTTGCCTTCATTGTTTAGTATTTGAATATTTTCTTTCTTAACTTGCTTATGCAGTTCACTATTAATTACATTCCAGGTAGTTCTAATATTATTTTTTGATTTACTAATTTGCTTCTCATAGTTCATCCTTTTGGCTTGATTTATCACTTTGGTTAATATTTTACAGTAGTTCTTATAATATATACCTATTATAGGACTTTTGTTTTTTTTTTACTTCTGCATACAAAGCTCTTATCTTTCTACAAGAAACAATAATACCAGTAGTAATCCATGAGCTTTGTTTATACTTTTGACTTTGAGTAATTGGAAATGATGCATAAAAATGTCTTAAAAATATATTTAAGAAATGATTAAAACTGATATTAATATCACTATTGTTAAAGACCGATTCCCAATTCTCATAACTTAGTTTCATTCTAAAATCTGCCATGGTATAATCATTTACATTTCTTATTAAATATACATCATTCTTAGTAATACTGAGTGTTGGTAAATGTACAATTAATAATTGAGCTTCATGGTCAGATAGTCCATTAGACTCCGGAAGAATTTCATAACCAGAAAACTGCTGCTCATCGATGAATATATTATCAATAATTGTAGACGTATTTGGTCCAATCCTTGTGGGAAATGTAATAATACTTTTCAAATTGTAATAACTTAAAATATCTTCTAGTTTAACTTTCATAGGGCAATTTTCCATATAATTCACATTTATGTCACCACAAATAATGACTTTTGCCTTCTTTTTGTACAAATTATGTAATATTGATTCTAATTTTACCAAAAATATTTCGTAATTACTGTTGGGCGATCTATATACAGTTAAAATATATATTTTAAAACTATTAGTATTTACACAAACAGCACAGGCCTCAATATTCTTATCACTACAATATTTATCAATATTAACAGTTTCAGTTTTTAAACTATTATGCACATATATACATGATCCACCTTTCTTAAAGTGCTTTCTGCTCTAATATGCTCCAAGGGTATAATTGTCCAGATTGAGGTGAACTATCTCATCATTTTCAAGATGGTGCTCTGTGAAACAGAGTACATGCGGTGTTTGCTCTTTCAAGTGACATAATATCTCATTGCATTTGTTTCTTAAACCCCTTATATTTTGGTGGAAAATTTTTATATTATTTTTATTGGACTCTGCTTTATTTTTAATTAGATTAAGACTTACATTATATTTAGACTTATTTCCATCAGAATCTATTCCCATAAAAAATCCTCGTTTCTATTTGGTGGTCTTCTTTTCCTTTGGATACAACGATAAGGTTCCTGGTTAGTTATTGGACATTGATGATCCTTATAGATATTGGTTTCCCCTTTGTTTCTGTTTTCTTTTTCCATGTTGAGTGTAACATTTCTTGAGATTACTTTGGTAGCATGCCCTGTTTCTATTGTTGGCTTTGCATGGTTGGGTATTGTTGTTTCCCATTTGAGTGGGATAACGGTATTTCTTAACTTCTGCTCAACTATTTCTTGTATTACACTAGATATTCTTGCTGCCATTTCTATTTTACCTCTCTTATTGTAGTGTAATCCCTTCTTGCCTTTCTTCAGCGTTTTTCAAGAATCATCTGTCCAGTGCTTACATTTGGCTTTTGCTTCTCTTTGAAAGAGTCCCACGTTCTGGCACTATATGTTAGCATTGGTTTAAAATATACTTTCTAAATTGTTCTTCTGCATTATTTTGGGATCTCTGTTCCATAATATTCCTAACAGTCACCATCTTGTTGATATTCATTTTCAGCCTGCAGTCCTTTATAATGGAAGGGGCTGATGGGAAATTAAAAAGGAAAGAGTTGTTAGAAGAAAGTAAGCGGATATTTTTTTGTCTGTTGGCCAATATAAAACAGAAACAATGCTAGAAGAAAATACTTTTAGGAACACGGATGACAAGAAACTTATATATCAGACATACAAACCACCTTGTTTCAAGCAAATCATGAACTGTAGAAAGAATTGGTAAATATAAGCAACATCCCTTTTGTTGAGATACCAATGATGAAGGAACTGCTATTGTTCTCTTTCAGTAAAGAGTCACTGGACACCCAAAAGACTAACATCACACATTTTCAAATTATTCTCAAGTTATGAATGTCTGCATGAGGATTACTTAACATTGTTGTATTTTTCATTGCTTTTGTTGTTGTTGTTGTTGTTGTAGTTGTGTGTCATGGAATGATAATTCACACTGTGTTTAAGCTAAACATAAAAACCACTTTACATCTGTACCATTTAGAGAAAGCCAACTATAGCGGAACATGGCATGTATGTGCAATTTCTCAAGCTGTTGTAAAGGAGGCGATACATTACACCACATTATGTTGCAATGTATTTTCAATTAAGATAACCCAGTACTGCATGAGTAGTTACAATTGGTGTATTATAATTTTATGTATGTGAAATTCCAAAGACAGGCCAGTTTATCTTGGAAATACATTTTTATGTTTACAGACTGTTCCTAAGGTCATCTAAATAGCATGTGATTGAGTCCAAGGCCTAGAAAAATTGCATATGAGCAGCCACCACAAAAACAAGAATATTTTTTGAACTGCAGCACAATTTTTCTGTATTATCATGCTAGTAGAAAATCATTTCATAATATTAACCAAAGAAGGAAATAGGCAAACTAAAATAATGGATACAAGAAACACATTTTATTTTCATGAACTAAGCACTGCATAAGACTAGTTAGTTAGTTATTGGAGAGGGTGGGTTTCCCCATGCACTTAGACCAGTATTGGTCCATTGTGCTTCCCTCTATGATATTCTACCAGTCTCTATACCCTACCGATATTGGTGCGTACCATCAGTCCCGACCGAGCCAGCGAGTTCGGCCTCTACTGCCTTGGCAGTATCTACAATGCTTCCCCAATCTATCAGAGGCGTTAGAGACTACTGTTGGGCGGGAAACGTCCTGAATTTGGCTCAGTGACCTCCTTTGGAGATATGAGGTTCTTTTATGTGCCGTAAAGCTACGACACAGGACCCACGGCTTAAAGTCCCTCCCGGAGGACTTGTTCCCTGAATTTTCCCGCCCTTAAAAATTCCACGATCTCCGCCGGGTTTGAACCCGCGTACCACGAGTCATGAGGTGGGAATGTTACACTGCATAAAACTAACCTGGATTTGTAATGTCTTCTTCTACACTTGTGTCACGAATTTGTTTCAGTTCCTGGACATGGCTTTGGAGCTCCGAGCACAGCTCTTTCACCTGGGCCAACTCAATTTCTTTCTCTATAACATCTTGCTGCAGCTTCTCACATTGTTCTTCATACTCTTGTGACTTTTTATGCAACACATTATACTGGTGCTCTGCTTTATACATCTGCAATACACAATAAACTTAATTTCTACACCTACCAACATCAAATCAAAGATTATCTACAGGGGATAAATAATAATGTACCCCTCTCACCAAAGTATAGCTTAGATGCTTCTGGTTTAGTTTCTTAAGGTAACTTGTAACAAAATAAAGCAGCTCTTTCCACATATGCCCATTTGCTTTGTTATAGGCGTTAGCAAGAAAAAAATCCCATAATTTCATAGGTATTCCCCCTAACCTTTTTTATTTAACGAAGCTGTTAGTATCAAGGCTGTGTAGCATTGATATGTTGATTAATAAATATGGAGCAGTTGGTGGAATGACAATTGAAAGAGGAAACCAAGGTACTTGAATAAAACTTGTCCTATTGCCACTATGTCCTCCACAAATCTGACATGACCTGACACAGGTCGCCACAATGGGAAGTTGTTGACTAACCACTTCAGCTATGAAAAAGCCTTGTATGTCTTCTCACTTTCAATTGTAGAGATGAGGGTACAGGTATTCTTCAATCTTTCAATGAAATAATTTCTAATATAGAATACGTTTGGTTTTCACATATAATTTTAACCAGAAGTCACTTTCAGGAAAGGTACTGTGTTTCAGCACAAACAGACTGTTTGGCAGGATGTTAGAAATTGCTAAAACATCATTAAATGTTAGCTCCTAATGTGGGTCTCTGAATGAGTCCAATGTCTTTCCCCAAAACCATCAAGTTGCTTGAGCTGGTGTTTCACTCCTCATATTTTTCAGTAACAGGAGCTAATATATACATGTAACATCTCGCTATAGTTCACTTACACACACACACACACACACACAAACTGTCTCTGAAATAACAGGCGGGAAAATCATTTTGACATTACACCTAACATATTCCTGGAATGCTAAACCATCTACGGGAAACATCACATACTGCAATCCAATGAGTGTTTCCCCTCTTCCAGAGTCTTCCATTTGAAAAAATTAATTAGTGGAACTTATCATTAGTTCATCTAATGATGCTTTATCAAGCGTGCTCATTATGTAATGTCAATGATAGAGTGATGTGCGAGTGAAGTATTGGAAGGGCTGTGAAAGAGAGCAGCCATGGTCTAATTTAAGGTATTGTAATGGATTTGATCAATGCACTGCCAGGCAACAGCTCCATAAACATGGTCCAACATGCAACAATAGACGAGGCTTTGTTTTCTATGTGGTCTGTGCAAAGCAACAATACCGAGGCTGCATTTTCTGTGAATGGTCCATGCCGAGAGGATATAAGATTCAGCACAGTTCAGAGTATTCAGTTATTCTGTGTGGAGGTGGGGTCGAATACCTCCACTGTAGCCCTGTGAGTCATAGGAGACAAAAATGGAAGCCTAGAATTTGAGGCAGTAAAATATGGTCACGAGTCCCATGGGACTCCGGCCTGAAAATGACTGTGCTGGCAAGGGCCAACAATAGTAAATGACAGACCCGTCCTCTCATCAGAGAGTGTCCCACATCAACAAACCCACAACTGTCTGACAGCAATAAAAAACTGGTCTTAAGACCCACAACTGTCTGACAGCAATAAAAAACTGGTCTTAAGTCCAAGAATGGTGCTTTATTCCAAGACAGGCCGGCCGACAGACCATCAGTCATAACATAAGACTCAGGCTAAGTAGTCAGTTGTTGGTAGGACATATCCACAGGAAGTTGTGCTGTAGTACAGTGATACTGGGAGTGCGAGACTTCTACAGTTCCTGTGTTATAAAACCATTGCCAGAAAACAGATAGTGAAGACACTGTAAAGGTGTAGCCATTGCCGAGATCGGTTACCTAGCAACGACTTGTGTAAGCAGACATTGAAGACATTTATGTTACAATTACAGTAATCCTTAGAGTGTTATAATTAATTGTAGTTACAACCTGAAAGTTATCAATAGATCCAACTACCAATCCAAACCCTGTCTTTAGTCACTAATACATGATAGTATGTATTTTCCCAGGACTTGACTGGAATGGCTGAGGAAAACCATGATAGCCAGCCAATGTGCCAAGTTTTTGAAGCTGGGACCTCCCAAATATAAAGGAACATGGTCTGAATACGATGAATAAAAGACCTGCAGACAAACTACTGAGTAAAACATTCAGTATACATACTGTGCACATAAATTTTGCATTTCAACTTCTTACCCTTTATAAATACAAACCACTCCATCCAATGTGACATATAAGTTTTTACTATGGTAGAACTTATCTCTCTTACATGTTTCGGTCCTTACGGGCCATCTTCAGAGGGAACATCATTACAAACTGGAAACTACCATCACAATAGGTGTTTTGATTTAAAATACATACACTTATATCCTATAATGCACAGTATGCATAAAGTCGAACGTTTCACAATCACAGCAGCTTCCTGATGTTGTAAAGTTTTTAAAAGTTTCTAGATGTTATTTAAAAAACCTTTATTGTCAGTAGTTAAAATTTTTTAAACCACGTAGGTTCGTGTCCGTACTCCTATCATCCTTCTTGTATGGGGCAGATTTTGTGCCGCCTGTCTTATCTTGATTAGGAGGTTCTTGATGTTGTCCAGGGTTTGTTCGTGGCTTGCTGCATTGCTTTCCCTCTGCAGATGGCCCATAAGGACCGAAACATGTAAGGGAGATAAGTTTTAACATAGTAAAAACTTATATGTCACATTGGATGGAGTGGTTTGTATTTATAATTGTTAGTGTGATGGACCAGAATGAAACAAATCAAATTCTTACCCTTTGTTGTAACAAATCTCGTTCACTGCGCAGAGAATCCATGTCACCGTGAACAGACGAGATATATGACTCCAAACTTCTTATCTGATTCTTTAGCAAGGTCTCTTGGCAAGATTTACTGCACCCAGCCTTTTCATGTGATTCAGAATCACTAAATAACCATTCTTCTCGCAGTTTCTTGATCTCATCACGTTTATCAATTAGCTGTTTAGCTGTGAAAGGGAAATATTATGTCTTATGCAGTATAATTCAATCATTGAAGACATTACAGAATTAAAATGAATATAAGAAATAGTAAATTAAATTACAAAATTCAACAGTAAAAAAGAATACTGTTATAAAAGTCAAGAACACCGAGTTTGTATCACTAAAACTGCACTAGAATTTCTTTCGTGAGTTTGCAGCCCCCTTCTGAGGAGTTAGAGTGAATAGCGTAAAATTAAGGGAACAAATCCAGTGTAACTGGCTCTAGAGACTTACTCAATTTCTTATTTTTTTCACGTTGCTGGCGCAGCTCCTCTTGCAGCTCAACTTTCTCCAACTGCTCAACCTCCAACTCATTATTTAGCCTCTTTATTACAGCTCTTTGCTCTGAGAGTTGTTTAAGTTTCTGAGCTAAGGGAGACTAATTAAAAATAATCACATTAGATAACATTCACAAAAATTTTATTTGGAACACTACAAATCTGAAGCAACTGGGGCAACTCAGTCATAATTTTGTGTTTTGACTTAATGAAGACTACTGGACTGCTATTACTAACAATAATCACTGTTACTTTCAGAATGAGAAAAGGCAGAATCCAATAAGTTCCATTATTACAGGCAGTAAATGCAACAATAAAGAAAATATCAAGAGTCATACCTCGACAACATCTCTGATGGGGGGACGTCTAGGTGTGCTGAAACCAATGAGTGGAGATTCTGAAAAACGGTGTCCTTTCTCTGCAGATTTTGGAGACATACTGCTAGCTGTAATTTGACACAACAAAAATTAGAATGGAAAATTAAAAAAATCTTGATTTAGAAAATACAACCATATAAAATGAAAATACATGTTTGAATAAATCTCTAGTATCATTAACAGGTTACTAATGCCATAGATTCATATGAATTTGATGCCCTGAATTCAAATATGGCATTAGTTTTTGCCTAGGAGCTCAAATTTTTAAGATATAACATTTTGGTGAAATATACGTTACACTATTTTAAGTTAAATCAGTGGATCAAATAAAAAAACTCAACATGGAATTTTTATTACTATATTATAATTATATTTTTATTTTATTATATTAAATACAAAGATAGAGGAAAAAATCATCGACTATATATAACAGTCAAACCAACTATAGTCACGGAACACTACGGAAGCTTCTTTTTCGTGA